ATCGGAATAATTCCCACGGTGTACCATATTGATCGTATGAGTAGATTATCATATTTTATTCTAAGTCCCATGGGTATGGTATATATATCAATTGCTGCATAGATATATACAAGGTTATGTAGTCTAGTGGTAAGTAATGCTCCAATGCGTGAGAATTGATTATGGGCTTTCAGCTGAGCTTGTGTGGTCGGGAGTCGTGAGTTCAAACCAGGCAAGTGGCAAAGATTACTGGATTTCTTTTTTTCTTTTTTTGACAAAATAAAAACTTGAATATGACAATGAATTTGGATCAGACAATAAGGGTATTCAGAGTAAGGTTTTGAATGTTCTGAAACACGTTGAAACATGTTCAGAATATGTTTTGAATTGTTCGGAAAATTGTTTGATAAGCAAATTTTAAACTCCGCTCAAAACACGCAAACACTTGATTTCGACGAAGTCCGTAGCCGACTGAGTCACGTGACATGTAAATTTCAAGCTCCGACCAAATTTTGCGCAGATTGACCCGAGTCGGATGATAAGATACCAGCGCTGAACCACAATGCCTCGCCAATCTCAACGTGAACAACTGCTTAATCAATTAGATACTGCTACTCTAGATGTAGCCAAGGCCTGGGCTGAGCATGCCATGGCTGATGGTGAAGTCTCTGAGTCTGATTCTTCTATGTCTGAGGATTCTGTTATCAGGACCCCATCACCAATCTCCCCTATGTCCCCCTATCTGTCTGACAACTCTCCTGATGGCTCCGGTGGTTCCAACATGTCGGATTCAATCCAGATTCATCAGCATTTCATCCGTGCCATTGGCTCCCTTTCCGCTCTTCGGGATGAGGTGGAGGAGGCACGCGTTCTTCACCGTCCAGACGAGGCCCCTATGCGAGCACCACAGATCCAACTCCTTGACCATTTCAGCATTCACCGCCCCGAATTATTCCAAAAGAAGCTACGTGTTGCCCCTGACATTTTCGACGATATCCTCGATCAAATTAGTGATCACGCTGTTTTCCATAATGAATCCAACAATCCCCAACTTCCAGTTGCAATCCAGCTCGCTATTTTTCTTAATCGGGTCGGCCACTATGGCAATGCGATTTCTCCTGAAGATGTTGCCCAGTGGGCAGGCGTCTCCGTTGGGTCAGTCACCAACTGCACTAATCGTGTCATGACTGCCCTGCTTGAAGAGCATGATCATTTTATGTCCTTCCCCGCTCTCAACTCCATCGAAGTCGCACGTGCCCGAGCCTATGTTCTCAAAACCACGGGTTGCCCAGAGTGGGAGAATGGTATTCTGGCTGTTGATGGATCATTGTTCAATCTTTACCAAAGGCCAAGTATCTTTGGAGACGCTTTTTATAGCAGGAAGTCTCAATTTTCCCTCAACTGCCAGGTGTGTTTTATTTTTTATGCTGTTTATTTGCGGCTGATTTTTCTAATTTTTAGGCGGTCATTATGGTCCATAATCTCACTATAGTCGATTATTCTCTTGGCCACACTGGTAGTGCCCATGATGCATATGCATTCCGCTCCACCCATGTTTACCAGAATCATCAAACACTTCTGGGCAATAACCATTGGATTTGGGCTGATAGTGCTTATCCCCTAGAGCCATGGTGTATCCCCCCATTCAAGAAGCCTATTAATGGGGCCTTGACCTCTGACCAGAAGGCATTTAACACTGTCCTTTCCAAGGTATGTATTTTATTTTATTTTATTTTATTTTATTTTATTTTGCCTGGTTCGTATTCACATTTCTTTAGGTTCGTGTGAGGGTAGAGCATACATTTGCTGCCCTTAAGGGCCGTTTCCAGTCTCTCCGAGAGCTCCGACACCCACTGCAGAATGAAGAGCAACTCAAATACCACTCCTATTGGATCATGTGCTGCCTTATTCTGCACAATATGATCATTCGGTTTGAAGAACAACGTGGCAATGGCACTGAGAATTGGGCCATTGGGGAGGGGTTAGATCTTATGCCACCTGCAGAGCAAGAAGACCTGGACAATGATGAGGTGGGAGATACCTCATATGCAGGCACCCCTGGCCAAGAAGCTCGTGCAAAGTTGATGAGGTACTTATTGGGGTAGTGGCTTACAGGGAACAGGATGAGGACAACAAGACTAGTGAATTGGTGACATAGGAGGCATGTACAAACATATAGGAAGGCATGTAAACATATGTGACATACTACCATAAGTGTCTGAGATGATGCAAGACGAGAAACGGAACACACAAAATGCTACAAGATCAGATACAACAAGGGAAATACATGCAATGATTAATCAGACACCCCCCCCTTCAATTTCAGAAGCTCGATCTCGAGCTGAAGGGCAGCCTTCTTCTCCGCATGGACCTTGGCTTGAGCTTCGAGAAGTTGAAGCTCGAGCGACTTCGCTTCTTGCGCACGTTGGTGGACGACGGCAGCCTCGCTATGGTCGATCTCGGCTTGCTCGCGTTGAAAATCGAGCTCCAGCTGCTGACGGTGCGAGTTGACCTTCGCGATTTTATATTCTGACTGGGCTGCCTTGGCGGTGTAGATATAATTGATCCCTTCAGCGAGGGACTTGACTTGGCCCTGAACATCAGATTGGACTTGAGTGGAAAGGGATGACTGGCCAGCCTTGTGCGAGCCGCCCTGTCGGCGTGCAGACGAAGTTACTGACCGGTGTGATGAGGACCCGCGTCCAGATGATGATGCCGAAGATGATGCAACAGACGGAGGCGACTGGGGTGAACGGATGGACCCACGGTTGATGGCGCGATCTGCGTGGGACTTGAAGGTCCCACGAGAGGTGGGTGGGGGTGTAGGGGGTGGTGAGGGGGATGAGAAGGGGCGCTTGGCAGAGGCACGGGCAGGCTGCTCCCCCTGTGGCTGCTCGTCCTGTGACTGCTCGTCCATCACGTAGTCGAAGTCGCTATTGGCAGGGGAGGCGTTAACGGCGGGGGGAGTGTTAATGGCAGCGGGGGGGGCATTGACGGCGGGGGGAGCGTTGACGGCGGGAGGGGCATTTATGGTGGGGGGAGCGTTAACGGCAGGGGCAGTATTTACACCGGGAGGAGCATCGACGGCGGGGGGAGCATTGACGGCGGGGGGAGCGTTGACGGCGGGAGGGGCATTTACAGCGGGGGAAGGGTGAGCAGCTGGGGGGTTGGGGCCGAGGGAATTGTCGTCGAAGTCGACCTCCATCGACTCATCAATGGAGTCGATGTGATCAGAAGGGGGGAGGGCTTTGGCTTTGCCCTTGCGCTTTGAGGTAAGTGACATCATGTCAGCTGCGCGATCGATTCCCGGAGCGGACGAGAACGTCTTCGGGGCGAATGACGGGTTGTTCTTCCAAAGCTCGTGGAGCGCTTTGTACCACGGGAATTCCGAGATGACTTGTTCTATGATTTGAAGATCAGTTACTAAGTGAAATCAGATTGAAAAATAAAACGTACGGAGTAGATTATTTTCAGCGTCATGCTGAAGCGGGTCAACACCCGCGCCAGTCTGGTTAAAACGACCATTGTACTTCTTGTATTTGTTCTTGAGGCTAAAAATTAGCGTTAGCGAAGGCATATGAAGAGGGGTAAAGGGCGCACTAATTCAAACGATTGCCCACGGCCTGCGTGAACTTGCCCGGCTCGTCAACATATAAGTCTTGATACTCTTCATCCTTCTCAAATACACAACGGGCGATCACCGCAGAGATCTTGCTCTTGTCGCTCCCAGACGGGGGAGGTTCGTTATCCGGCTTCTTTCCTCCTTCGTTGAACAAAACACGACAGTCGCCAGGATGGGTGGTGAGGAATTGCACGAGGGTATTAGTGCGGTTGCTGTTGTTGTCCCATCGGATCTTGACGCCAGAGGATGTAGCCACTACAGCATCACCGGGGACATTGTCAGATGTGGTGAGATCAGATGCACCAGCAGTAGAGGCAGTGGCAGTGGCTTGCCCTCGTCCCCTGGTGCCGCGAGTTGAAGTACCCTTGCCCCTAGAACGGGGGGGTCTTTGGGTAGTCATTGGTGGTCGGTGACTAGTCTTGAGGCGTGCGTTGAGCCGTTCTGAACGGCGTACTTGCGGACGGTCTGCAGGCATACCTGCGCGTGTAGCATGAAGTTTGATTTCAGACTCAGCTTGCGCCTGCCGACATTCCGTGAGGTTCTGAAAAGTTTACCCACGTGTTTCATAGCTTTCAAAACTTTCAAAACCTTACTCTGAACGCCATTAATGATTATCACCCCAACATTAAATTCATTGTTTGTCAATGAGCGATTCAGTGTCGCACAGCGGCACTGATTTACATCAACTGTCAATTAATTTCCTAGCTTTCAGCACTGATCATAAAGGTCTTTGGTTTTGATATTCATTGTCTCCACTACCCTCAGTGATCTAGCTAGGAACAGACAATTAATTGACAACAGCTGGAGTTCTCGGACGTGGAGTAACTTTATAGTTTTAGTTTTGCCAGGTGACTACGTAATGCGGATGTTTTGCGGAAACGTTCGCGTTCACGCGTTCACGACTCGTGCCGGTAATAGGTATCCCCTCTCCGACCTACAATGAATTGTTAGAACATATGGAGAATATTGCGAGTAGAAACATCCATACTCCACTGATGTTCTTCTTTGGTCGGTTACAGTTGCCTGCCCGCTGCACACGTTGCATGGCTGAATACAGTGCAATATGTCAAGAGACATTCTTCATCCTTTGGCAGGATTGGTTGAATTTGAAGAAACCTGCAGCATGCTGCCGTGCATGGTGGTGCAATTTCAGCTGAGTGACTGGATGGTTGCCAAATTGACTCGGAGATACAGGGAAACAGCCGATCATTTCTAGGAGGAGAGAATCATTCGACTTAGAAACGAGGAACACAGTCCGCTGGCCAATATTTGATAGATGGAAACCGATGGATGTTTTTTCATTCATTGATACCGTCAAGACCGCTCCAGCACTTCGTGGGACTCATAACCAGCAGGCAGCGCGGTTTTTCTCAGTATGGGTCTTTAATCAGAAGCGGCAGCTATCTGTAGCCTAGTCATAAGCATCAGTGTGAGTCAAGTGTGAGTCGCATATTTTTCGGTTATCGTATTGCTTATGTACTATTACGCAGAACCTCTAGACAGCCTTTCTTTCTTCATCTCTTACTTCAAGTGCGAACCATCATGTCCCAACAGCGGCTGGACGAGGAGACGCCATTGCTGCGACCCGTGCAACAGAAGAAGGCTAGGACACCATTACCTTGGCGTCAATTCTCTATCATACTGTTTCTCCAGCTCGCAGAACCACTTACTTCACAAGTTATCTCTCCCTTCGCACCCCAGGCATGTTTTTTTCGTAGCTGATTCACTTGATGTGTTTTTGATGTTTGCCGCGTGCCAGTTAATAAGAGACATCGGTATTACAAATGGCGATGAAACCAGTGTAGGATACTATGTCGGACTGATGGTGAGTCATAATTGAACGATGCTCGTACCTCACCTTCAAGTATATACAGTACTCCATATTCTTTGCCTCACAAGCGCTCACCGTTCTCCATTGGAGTCGTATATCGGACCACATTGGACGGAAGCCTGTTATTTTGACAGGCTTGTTCGGATTGTCTATCTCGATGTATTGTTTCGGCCTATCTAAAACCTTTGCGGGACTCATACTGAGGTTCGATCACTTCATTCTCCCGTGGTCGCTCTGATCGAACACTCAGCCGTGCTCTAAATGGTGCTTTGAACGGCAATGTTGGCGTAATTAAAAGCATGATGGTGGACATCACCGACTCTACCAACTTGGCCCAGGCGTATGCATATATGCCAATAGCTTGGTCAACCGGCGGGACCATTGGGTATGTACCTACGCGATAATCTATATCGCTTCTCGAAATGAGATTACCTTCGCAGCCCCCTTATAGGCGGATTGTTATCACCACCACTTGAACGATTCCCGAACGTCTTCAAACATTCCCAATTCTTGAAGACCTATCCCTACTTCCTTGCATGCGCTGTACCTGCCACATTCTCTGCACTGGCTTGGGTCGTGACGTTCTTTTTCTTGCGAGAGGTGCGTTAATCCGAACTACCATGCAAGCATACAGCATTGATGATTTTGATTGACAGACTGTACCTACCAGGGTGACTCTCGGGCATTTTCTCAGGGGAAAATATCACAAAAATACCACCCCTAGCCCCGTGACTGTAACAGGGTCGGCTGAATTCCTCAGCACCGAAGATGCCGCTCAACGTGCAAACGCCGATGACTCCAAGCCACTACCCCTTCGCTTGCTCTTGATACCCAGGGTAATCATAGCTGCTGGAAACTATGCCGCTCTGTCACTTCTTGACATCGCATTTCGTGATGTACAACCTCTGTTCTTCGCCACACCAGTAGAACTCGGCGGACTAGGATTAGATCCCCCGCAAATCGGCAACATCCTAGCTATCTACGGTGTGATGAACGGCTTGTTCCAAATATTTTTCTTCGCCGATCTGCATGATCGGTTCGGCTCAAAGATAATATATTCTGCGGCAATGGCTGCTGGAATTCCGATGATCATCACTTTACCCATCCTCAATGCTGTCGCCAGAGTACAGGGTTTGAGCCTCATGGTATGGGCGATTGTTAGCCTGCAACTTGTTCTTTCAATGATATTGAACCTGGGGTATTGTCAGTTTCCGCATTTTATCACGATTCTTTGCGTTGACCATGATTTCCCTCAGCTTGCGTATTCATCTATATCGCAGCAGCGTCTCCGAATCAAGCGTCTTTTGGTACGACGAGTGGGATTGCTCAGCTGGGTGTTTCGATCGTACGAGCTATTGGTCCTGCATCCGCGACGTCTGCGTTCTCGCTATCTATCAAGAATCCCCACCACGCATGGGTCATTTACTATTATATGATTGCCCTGGTCTGCATAGGCATCTTCGCGTCACTGTTCCTTCCTCGGCAGTCGTGGAAGAGTCAACGTTGACGAATCTTGCGCACCACGGCGATTTCACTGAGGGTATTTGGAAGGCTGTAGAAGAAGATGAAAACGGGCACCTAGGGCGAATATTCAAGCTGTAATATTGTCTGTGCTGACGGCAGATGATTAGATCTCCTTTCGTGCAACTCCCCAGATTTGAAGCATTGGAAACCACTCGTGTTCACTAATGCCTTTAAAAGTAGCGAAGAGAAAAGCAAAAGCGATTCTATGTTTATGTAGGTAATGACGATGCTCGTATATAGACAGTAAATTTAAAGAAATACACGAAAGAAACAAAAATACACTGAATCGACAAGACAGTAATTCCAGCCATTAATCAGAGCGGCGTGATGTGTACACAGATAGAGATAGAGATGGATGGAAGGGAGGACACATCGAATAGACAAGATAAGCAGAGATAACTGCAGAAGAATAAGAGGAGTTGTTGCGGGAGACAACCATAAAGGCAGCAGCTAAATAGCTAATGATAAATTCCAGGAAGATATGATAGTGAAAAACAGCAGATACGATGAGTAACGTAGACATACAAAAAGCGATGACGAGGGCATAACTTGACAAGGAGTGACATGAAGGCATGACGGGCATAACGAGCGTATTGTTTATGAAGTTGAGGAAAGAGTGGGGAAGGGAGTAGAAGAGAGGAGAGAAGAGATAATCAGATCACTCCGGATAACGCGGTTGAGACTGCGCGGGATACGAGCTCCAATACGCGCCATCGCTCCCTCGAGTCCATGTCTGCTCCACATATCCTTGCTGTTCTCCCGCGTACCCCTGTTGTTGAACGAGGTGCTGGTCTATCGATGATTTGACCCCATACGCCCCTTGCTGCTCCCCAGAGTAATCTTCTGGATATCCCTGCCGTTGAGCGGGCTGCTTCTCCTGTGATCCATAATACTCTCCCACAAGCCCAGATTCAGGGTACTGCGGGCCAAAGCTGAAACGACCCGACTGTTGCTGTTGTTGAGACGGAAGGGGGTGCTCGCTATAGGGCGCTTGAGATGGAGGATATTGTGGTGTTTGTATCCGTGCAGGGAAAGGTTGCGATTGCGGGGCAGGTTCTGAGTAATGGGGCACTTGGGACGGAGGAGCAAACGATGTTGGCGTGGAGGGGGGGACACTGAACTGCGCGTATTGAGGCGTATCCGGATATGAGAACGGTGAAGCGGAGGAGCTGGCGTAGTCATAGGGAGTAAATTTTTGGGCGGGCTAGAATTGTGGTGAGCGGGTGAACGAATGTGTAAAAAAAAGGGAAACACACCTGAGGCTGAGGTTCGTAAGCAGCCCCAAAAGGCAACGAGAAATCGACCCCGCCTTCTTGCGACATAGGCGTAGGTGTGGAGTGATAAGAAGACCGGTCAATGGGCGTTGAGGCGAGGGAAGGCGGATGGAGGGGTACCACGGAAGATGGCTGCGACATCGCCGAGCACTGGGTTGCAGACATCGATTGACTAGACGTTGGCATCGGCTGGCTAGACATCGGCACCGACTGACTAGCCATCCCCTGTGTTATTGTTGTCGTTGTAGGCGATCCAACACTCGCAGTCCGCACCCTAGCAAGCGGAGACGGTTCCTTTCCAGGACGCACGCGATACCCAACGGGCGGGTACGAGGTCTTCTTCTTGTCTTTCTCTCGTGAGCGGTCTTTTTCTTTGTCCCCCCGCTCCCGCTCCCGATCATGCTGGCCCTCCTTCGACAGCTCTCGATCTCTGACGCGGTCCTTCCGAGGTGGGAACTTTGAGGGGATGACAAGCGCAGGATATGTCCGTCTTGGTTCTGAGGCTGAATTATCCTTGCTGGCGTCATTCGTGAAGGAGGCGTTCGGGATAGTAAGGAGATTGGAATCAACGTGAGATGGAGAGCATAGCTTGAGTTCCTGGGCAGAAACGACAGGAACGGGGACGAGAGAAATACTCTCCTCGCCATTACCACCGGCACTTGGACCACCAGGAATAGGAACAGCATCACGGCCATCACCTTCGTCCCACCCCTCTCTCTTCCTCTTGCTCACAATGCCTGAACACCCCGAATCGAGTTTCCGGATGAGTGCCTCCAGCACGCTCACATCCAGCGCAGGACAGAGGTCACGTAGCTCGCGAAGCAGTCCAAGGCCCATCTTAGCATCCTCGACAGCGGTACGCGTCCACACGGCCCCTGAGTCACGAAGAGCACTGGTAGCGCAAACGACAGAGGCGTCGAACAACGCCTTCGAATACCCCATTTCCACTCCCCGGCCAAATCCTATAACGAGATCAGAAAACTGAAGCGAAACGGGACGCAAATCGTATACCTGACTGAACATCACAGACAAGACCACAACAAAGACTCAACCCAAGCCCATCCTTCCTCCGCACCAAATCAGGCCGCGCACAGGCAAGCTCGACAAAATATCTCGCAGCTCTGAGCAGTCCATGGGCCGCTGTGAGCGCGCCTACACGTGCTTGATGTGTCTGCGGGCTAGCTTCATGTCTCGCGTTAGAGTGGGAGTCAGATTGAGATGACGAAGACGAATGGGGACGTAAAGACGGGAGGTACAACCCCATAGCCAGTCTATGTGTCGTCATCAATATGTCAAGACGCTGAGCCAGGAGCGTCGGTGGTGTGCCACCATGACTTGCGTTGGATGACAGCGCCATGGAATGGTGAGGCGTCATGCAAGACTCCTCGCCTATCCCCTCGCTCTCCATCCGAAATGCGGGCGGGAGGTCTGATAGCCATTGTTTGATCTCAGTTTCGCATTGGGAAGCGTGCTCGATGGATAATAGGACTGAGGGGTGTTCGAGGGAGGATAACAAGGAGGTGCGAGAGTTGATGTCTTTTACGAGCTGTGCGAGTCTGTAGTGATAGTGGGGTAAAAAATCAGCGACTCGCAGAGGTGAATGGGCAGGCAAATATCACTGACCTTACTCTCATCCCAAACCACCTTCCCACGCCCTCTTTGCCCGTCGGGCTTAGGAGAGGTGCAGACGTACACGCAAAGGTAAATACTTCCTCGTCAACGTCAAGTGGTAGGCGAGTGCTGAACGCGTGCAAAGGGATGAGGGGAGCACGTGAAGATAGAGTGGACGTATATCTGCGGAGAAACGAAATCAACGGTGCATTCTTATGAATTGGAAGATGTGATTCGTGACAAAACGCAACTCACGCATCCCACCACCAAACATCCCACCATGCCCGCCGACGCGCCTCGCTTTCATACAGGCCATATTTACCAGGCGTAAGATCTGGGTCAACATCGAGCCCCATCACACGTGCGACGTTGACGAGTTTGCCGATCTGTGAGGGGAGGAGTGAGTTGGAATTTCGTTATGAATTGGGTTGGAACAGAAGTGCGAAAAGGGGAAGGAGAAGTTGTGGAGACATGGTGGGGGCGGAAAAGCCAAATGCAGCAAGAACGAGGCAGAAATACATAGACAAGAAGACGGCACATTTAAAATGCATGAACATTAAAGTTGAAACGCGACGAAAGCGATCGCACAAAAGGCAACGCCCAGAAAAGGAACGATCATGACGATCACAATGGAATGTGAAGGATCTACGGATCGCAGACGCCGGTTCCAGAACAGAGAAGCAAAGTTGAAAGGCTCCGTGGGCAACTTCCATCAAAACGTTGCATGTCCGCTCCGATCTCCCGTAGGTCGCAAAAGATGGTAAACAAGCAGAATATACTACTCACCTCTCCCAGAATCCATCCCTCCTTCGTGTTACCCGCAGCACTTACTTGTCCATGTCTCTCCGTCGCACATCCTTTATCGCAAAGAACTACAAACAGCACGCCGAGCACAATCGCAGATACATAATCCAAGTCGTACTCGCTCGCATGTGCACTATTCGAATTCGACCCTGATCCGGACAAGGCCACGCCACCCTCCCACACGCAGAGCGCTTGCCGCGACAACGCATGAAGAAGTGCAGGAGATGTGAGGTTCTCTTTCGGTGACGGATCTTTCCTGGACTTCTTTGACCCTAGTGAGGTACCCGTCCTGTCGTTGTGAACGGCCCTTTCAGGTCCTATCAGTTCAGAAGGAGCTCCGGGGTGAGTGGGGCTGGAGCTGTGGAGGGCAGCGCTCGCGCTAGCGGCGCTCTCTTCAACCAATAATGCAAGTGCGAAAGCGCCCGAAACAGATGCGAACAAGGGGAGGGAAGGAGCAAGGGCTCTACCTGAGGTCTGGGTTAGAGCCTTATGTGAAGACGGAGGCGAAGGTGGAGGGGCAGGAGGTGGGCCGAAAAAGATGGTGCGGGCCGTGTCTGCTTTACATGTGTCCGTAGATGTACGAGAGGGAGGATTTGTGGCGTTCATGTTTGTTGATGACGTACTTGGACGGGATGGCTCGTCTGAGGAGTCGTTTGTTGAACACGATGTGCTCTCACTCTCTACCCACCTCCATATGCCCTCCGCGCGCTCTTTCCAGACGCGCCAGCTGAAACAAGGCCCCGGGATCATCCTGAGGGCTTCTTCTGCGTGTTCGTATAGGCGGGTGCGGCGGCGTGGGGCGAATGGGAGGTGAGATAGGAGGGATTTCATGAAGAGGGGTGAAGAGGATGAGGACGGGTGTGGGGCGTAGTAGCAGGAGATTGGGGGCAATAGGAGCGGAAGAGGGAGGGATGACGGGGGATTTGAAGAGGGTAGGAGGAGGGAGGAATGAGATGCCGGTTCAGATTTAATATATCCCTCCTGTGCGTTGTAACTCGATGATTGTGCTGGTAGTGGCTGTGGGATGTCAATCTCTTCCCACCAGATAGCGGTAATATCGTCCATGGTGGGTTCATGTGGGTGGTAAGAGTTGATGGTGTGGATGGGTAATTGTATGGTTGCAGATGATGATGAGGAAGAAGGAAAACGGGCACCTGGTGCGGAAATTTGAGCGAGCTGGGACTCAACTGCTATGAGTCTGTTGTTGAGTGAGTGAAGGTCACTATTGAAATGGAGGAATCAAATTTGGCAAGAGAAGAAGGGAGGCATGAACGGACACTTTCTCAGCGGCAGCAGGGGAGTATATGCATCTAGCAACAGTATCGCGCTTTGTACAAGAGCCACAGGGAGCTCGGCGATCACATTTCAGTTTAAGTCGTTTGCACTAATAAGACATGTGAATTAGTTAGCACAACAGGATAATTGACACAGACCTCTGCACAAACAACGGTAACACGAGAGCGAACTTGTCTGTTGGGATATTTAAAAAAGTAAGGGCTGTGGTATGGACGAGGATGAAGAAGGACTCACGGGCCAACTGCTTGTGCGAGGTGCTCACTGCTACTACTCGGGTCCATCATAAGGAGACCTCCGCGTAGAATCTAAGTAGTCAGTAAAACGAGCTCGTCACTGTCGCTGTCGCTGACGTCGTTCGTCGTCGTCGTTGTCGTCGACTTGATAGGGCGCAGGAACAAGCGCTGAAGAAAATAGCAAAGGTGACGAGAGTACCTCCACTACAGCAATGCTCCGGGTCCGAGACCCCGTAAGACCGCCAAACGGGATAAACATAAACCCCTGTCAAACACACGACTTGCTCTCGCACATAAACTATAATTTCCGCTTCGGTGCCTGCAGTTACTGATACTCTGTTACCTAGCACCGACAATGAATTTTATTACCATCTCCTTCTACCGACCTTCGCACTACTTCCCAACCTTTTTTAAATCCAGCGTCTATCAATTATCACCGCATCGGGCCCGGAGTCCTTCTCATGATGGGATTACTGAGACGGTCAAGGCCTGGGTTAGTGTGTTATTGCAGGGCATTCAAAATAATGCTCTGTACTAATCAGGAGCATTCCTCACATCTAGAGCCTGTGGATGTTGCGGCGTCCATGAAGGTGCCAGCACAAGCTCAGAAAGACTAGGCATCTAGCAGCCAGTATCTATCAGCTCACTACAGTATTGATTTGAATGGTCACAACACCTACATCATTACAAAACGACCTTGTGCCTTCTTGCAATGCGCATTACGCATCCGTCGCTGCCAACGTCTACCATCCCGGGCCAAATTTGAAAGCTTTGACAGCAGCCTTTCTCATGTCTTCTCGGATGCTGGTATACTCACCCCTAATTCGTAGTCAAGGCTCGACGGTCCTCGACCCTGGCAATCGTATCGGCGTCCGGGTCGGACGCTTCGGATTCTGGGCTGTGGGCATTAGCAAGTGCTGAACATTGTGAGCTCGGTTCCGCGGGCCCACTACATGGACACCGAGGGTCTCGTAAATTTGACATCGCGCTCTCCCAGCTCGCAGACGTCAGTAGCATACCCTTCACACCTGTTCCTACCTTATTAATATCAGGTACGTACTGGCGCCAAAGATACACCGTCATGTCATAACGAGTTTTGCAACAATGTTCAACGGCTCTGGTGGCATGTCCAAAAATAAGTGTGCTCGTGTCAACCAGCGACACCATAGAAATGCACCCACTGTGATTTATTCTTGACAAGAACTTGAACAACAAGAGATATGACCGTAGGAGACAAAGTTGCTCACATGATGTTAATGAAGGCGCAATTTTGTCGCAAACGGCATCCAACAAGAACAGCGTGTCAATCGCATGAACGTGTAAATCCCTTGTCAAGACTCAATACAATCTCTTGCGAGCAAACAATCGAACCCGCGAGCCTCCGACTTCGAGCTTGGTAGTGAGGATAACAGAGCAAAGGCAGATTCCAAGTTTAGACCACAGAAATTGACATATAATATAACCAAATAATAAATAAATAAATAAATTGAACTCGTCTCGTACTAACACGCTCAAAACGGGCTCCTTTAAAGCAACCAACTTGTACAGATTGCACTGCCGCAAATCCAACAAAGCTGGGCGTCTGCCCAACGTTTGCCTGTCAAAAATCAGCCGAGAAAAAACAGACAATGATCCAAACTTACAGCGCTAGCACTGGCAGGAGTGCCGACAGCACCTACAACAAAGCCTCGAACATGTTACACGACCACGATCAATCCCACTTGAAGCACCAGCCCTATATTCTTTCAATCTCGGGGATTCTCGAGCAGCGAAATATTTGAACAATTATTTCACAAGCCTACACTCAAGAACTTGCAATTGTGTAAGTTGCAATAACGGAAACCACACCAGCTGGAGTAGAGTGTGCCCGATATTCAGCAACAAATGTAACACAATGAACGACAACTATCCAGAAAACAACATGCCCTACTATCCGACTGAAGAACTTTGGACCCAGGTACTCCTCCCACCAAAAGCCCCCCCATACCAGAAACCCCATACCAACGAACAAGCACGCCCGAACGCTCACCGCCAGATGACACTAGGAGAAGCACTAAGACCCAAACCATTCCCGACCCCATGCTCCCCACATTCAAACCGAGACCGCCCACATCACATACCACCGGCCACGGGAGCCAACTCTACAAGTATCAATCGTTCATCTAACTCAACTAACCGCTTCACCTCCCTCTCTCTAGACCCTCCCGATCTTCAACCTCAATCAACAGTCAATCCATGGAACCCTTCCAATGTCTGAACACCAGGACGACAATCCCGTCAGGCTCCGAATTTGGCAACAAAACCTCAACAACTCAAGAACCCGCCCAAGAATCCCTGCTCAACGGCCCCATCGCATTAAACTGGGACGTACTCGCACTTCAAGAACACTGCTCAGACAAACTACGCAACACTAGATCCACGCACAAATGGCACACAGTATACCCTACCCAGCACTATACCCACACGCTCCAAAAGACTCGCGCAGTCACTCTAATAAGCGCCGAACTAGACAAGAACGGATGGAAACAACTAACCTTCCCCTCTTCTGACGTAGTAGTCATTCAATTCACGGGACCGTTCGGTAAATGCACAGTATTCAATATATACAACGATGGGGAGAAGCAAGATACGCTCACGGCCTTAGATGCCTATCTAACGACGAACATAGCAACAATACGACCGACCGCGAACGATCATATGATCTGGCTAGGGGATTTCAACAGACACCATCCCCTCTGGGAAGAAGAACGGAACCATCACCTATTTAACGCCGCGGCAGTCCAACCTCTGATAGACCTTATCGCGGACTACGGTATGGATCAACCCCTCCCTCGAGGCCTCCCAACTCTCCAATCATCAAGTACGAACAATTGGACAAGACCGGATAACGTACTATGCACGGAACACACTATGAACGCCTTCATCACATGCAGGACCAACCCCGCTCAACGAGGACCGAAAACTGACCATATCCCCATCCAGAGTATACTCGAACTCTCAGTGCCAAGAATTACGAACACCACCTCCAGAAACTATAGAAACACAGACTGGGATAATTTCAGATCTATGCTTGAAAAGAAGCTAATCACACTCCCAGAACCACGCATATGGACCACCGAGGCCGAATTCCAATCAGCAGCCGCAACGTTTACGAAGATACTCACCGACACCATCGACGAAGCAGTCCCAATATCCCGTCCATGCCCACACTCGAAACGTTGGTGGACGTACGACCTTACGAAACTACGCACGACAGTCAACGGCCTCAGCAGACAATCATACTTAATGAGAGGAATCCAAGACCACCCATGCCATAATGAGTATAAACGAACACGCAACAAATACGCCAGCGCAATCGACAAGGCCAAGAAAGAACACTGGATCGAATGGCTCGATCAGATCACAGGTAACGAGATATGGATCGCTAATAAGTACATCACAGCAGATCCCTCCGATGGAGGAAAAACGCGTATCCCTACCCTCCACGTGAAAGACGCCGCCGGAATCATTCAAGACGCTACCGATAACGACGAAAAAAGCAAAGCTCTCGCTAATTCATTCTTTCCCCCAGCCCCGAACATCTCAACAGTCCCGCTAAATGCCATATACCCAGAACCGATAGCACCTACAGAACCCATCACTTATGACCAGCTCATCCGCAACATCAACAAATTAAGCCCATACAAGTCCCCAGGACCAGACGAAATCAGCAATATAGTATTTAAGGAATGCTCATCCCTACTCCGGCCACACCTCCTATCGCTTTTCAATTCGGTCTTCACGCTACAAACATACTACGCACCCTGGAAGGATTTCACGACCGTCGTCTTATGAAAACCCGGGAAACCGGACTATACAATAACAAAAGTGTATCGTCCCATAGCTCTTATTAACACAACGTGCAAACTACTAACCGCTATCGTAGCTGATCAACTGACATACGTACTCGAACGTCACCTCCTCCTCCCGGCTACGCACTTCGGGGGAAGACCCGGAAGATCCACGACCGATTCGTTACACCTACTGGAGACTACTATCAAGAACGCTTGGAGAATGGGTAAAGTAGCTTCGGTGCTATTTCTGGATATAGAAGGCGCGTTTCCAAACGCTGTAACTGATCGACTAATACACAACATGCAAATGCGAAGGATCCCAAGCACACTAATAGATTTTACAGAACGAGTTCTTAGGAACAGACGTACTCAACTACGTTTCGACGATTTTGTATCTAACTGGATACCAGTAACTAATGGAATTGGACAGGGAGACCCACTATCTATGATACTTTATATTATATATAACGCTGATCTAATTGACGTAGCAATAGGACACAAGGCAGAATCAACGCTCGCATTCGTGGCTATAGGCCAATCGTTCGAAGACACCCACGAAATACTCAACAACATGCTAGAAAGACCCAACGGAGGATTCGAATGGTCGACCGCCCATAACTCAAAATTTGAGACGAGTAAATTTGCCTTAATGGACTTCTCATTGAACAGAACCAAATCCCGCCCAGCTATGAACATAAGAGGTAATGTTATCAATCCCGCTGCAACTCACCGCTTTCTAGGCGTTATTCTCGATCAAGAACTTAGATGGAAGGCTCACGTTGATTACGCCGTCGCACAAGGAACAAGCTACGTACTCCAACTTAGAAGACTCTCATCTACCTCTACGGGCATGCCGCTCCAACTAACTCGTCAATTGTACCAAGCTGTAGCGATCCCTAAGATGCTCTACGCAGCAGATATCTGGTTCCCCCCGGCTTTCCAAGGAGCGTCAAACAAACCCCAACGGGGATCGGTAGGAATCGCAAAATGTCTCTCAACTGTCCAGAGAATAGCGGCCATAGCAATCACCGGGGCCATGCGCACCTCCGCCACGGATATACTAGAAGCCCACGCCAACCTACTCCCGATTCCACTACTCCTCCAGAATACATGCCATAGAGCCGTCGTTCGACTAGCTACCCATCCCGATACCCACCCGCTACACAAACCCATCAGACGAGCAGCCAAACATCAAGTCCTACGTCATCGCACCGCCCTACATCGTCTTACCAAATCCTTTGACATCGATCCCGAAAGTATCGAAACACTCATCCCAGCTTGCCGGCCTCCGTCCTCAACATGCCCGTACAAAACTCATATTGCAAAAACAAGAGAAGACACCATCAGAGAACAATCGCAACTGACAGACAAGATCCAAGTCTTCTGCGACGGCTCAGGACAGAATGATAAGATAGGCGCAGCGGCAATATTAATACGAGAAGGTAAACGCCCTCGAATACTCCGTTATCATCTGGGTCAAGCTAAAGAACACACCGTATACAAGGCCGAGGCCATTGGACTGACATTAGCAGCAAAACTTATAGCGACCGAACAACACCTCATATTCCCAATATCTATCCTCGTCGACAATCAAGCAGTAATTCAATCCGGTGAGATAACGACACCCAGAGCAGGACACTACTTAATCGACCGATTCCGTAGAATGATTCAACTCATCAAAACCCGCAATCAGAACGACTTCAACATCACGGTAAGGTGGATTTCAGCCCATAGTAATGTCCCAGGCAACGAGAAGGCCGATGAAGAAGCGAAACGCGCAGCATTAGGCCCCGCCTCCAACAGCAACATGCAAAGCCTCCCCAAATTCCTGCGCAACGGGATACCCAGTAGCATATCAGCAATCAAACAAGAACATAGACAGAAGACCCAAGAACGCTGGGAGCAACTCTGGACCACCTCCCCCCGCTACACCCGCATGAAAAACATAGACCCCAAGATACTCAAACGTTCATTCATCAAACTAGTCGGCACCCTCCCTAAACGCCTGATCGCCCTATACATGTACTTCCGAACCCGCCACATCGCTCTCAATGCCCATCTTCACAGAATCAACCGCAGTATAACCCCACACTGCCCCACATGCCATAACACCAACGAAACCATACAACATTACCTCTTCATATGCCCGCAATATAACCGCGAACGTCACATTCTCGTAAACGCCCTAGGCCGCAATGCCACGTCACTCCCCTTCCTTTTAGCCGACCCAAAAGCAACAGAACACTTCCTTCGCTATGTCAATAGCACAAGCCGCCTCAAATCAACATTTGGTGATGTCACTCTTCCACCTTAATTCAGAACAATTGATAAAACAGATAAAATATTAGACACGTCATAGAGAAAAACCATCAAACACACCGCCTACCCGCAAACTACAGAAGACATAGGTTTCACACCTCCGGAGTTCAAAACGCGAAGAGATGCATGGAAGATGAGCCACCTACCCATCGACCCCACCTTATCGCTCCTCCCCCACCTCCTGTATTTGTAACGCTTAGGCAAACAAATACCTGCTACAGAAGACTGGAAACTTGCATAGATCACCCAAAAGTAGTACTAGAACCATGTCCGTCCATCATCGACAAAATGCGCACCTAAAATGGCCGGCAGGAACGGCGGACCAGCGGGGGCATGTAACGGGCGCTCTTCAAGCGGGAGAGACAAGCGAGGAGCTGAGCAGAAGGAGAGAGCCAGGAACTGGCGTTGGTTCGACGAAGGGACAGGTACAAAGCTCCGAGCCACATATAAGTATGTAGAGCGTGATAATGTAATGTGAAACATAGGAATGAAACTGGGCGCAGTAAACGCGTCAGTGAGATAAGGAGTCCGTGATTATCCAAACGAGCTGTTCCGCGCGGAACGGAGTACATCGGCGCAATGTTGATACTGTAAAGAGACCGTGTTATAGGTAGAATGGCCGTGGACTACGTAGAGTGCCCATGACCGTGACATCATCCCCCTTCTAGGGCGAGTGAGGATAATGCTACAGGTCGAGCCTTTCGGCAGGGCGCGAAACGCGACCCCCACGGGTCGTCGTTTGCGTTGGGGGCACGTACTCAGATCTCAATCTCTGACGTACGGCAGCAGGCGACGGAGGACGGGCAGCGGCAGGAGGGACGGCAGCGAGGACAGGTGCGGGAGGCTCGGGAGGTGCGACGGACGACGGGACCTGTGAAGATAAGGGAAGAAAAGTATCAGTAGCGGAGAGGGGAGTATGATAGTTTTTGTTTAAATCAATTATGTGAGGACGAGGGGAGCGCGGGTGACGACGATGGAAGCGTTCAATGAGTTCATTGAATATAGTGGGGATGTCAGAGAGAGGAAGCCACGAGTCTTCGGACTCGGGCAGAGATTTCCATCGCACGAGGTATTCGTAGCGATGGCCAGTCTTGTGGCAGTCGAGGATAGCCTTAATGTCATTAGCTGGATCTTCGGCGAGGTCGAAAGGGAGTGGTGAGGCATGGGTATGGAAGTCGGAGGGGTCTGAATAGGGCTCGAGAAGGGAAACATTGAATACGGGATGGAGACGGGATAGATAGGAAGGGAGTCGAAGATGATAAGCAGAGGTGCCGATTTTGCGAAGGATGGGGTATGGGCCGAGGCGACGATGGTCGAGTTTGAACGAGGGGCGTGTGGTTTTGATGTTGCGGCGCAAGAGCCACACTAGCTGACCTTGCTGAAAGTCGGGCGCTGGCAGGACCTTCTTGTTGAACGATTTTGCCTGCATGTCTTGCGCGAGTTGTAACTCAGCACGGAGCTCTGTGTGAATTGCGTCAAGTCGCGTGGCAAGGTCGGAGGCTGCGGGAACGGTTGAGCGTTCAGTGATCTGCGGCTCGAAGGACGGATGAAAAGCGTAGTTAGCAAAGAAGGGAGTCTGATGGGTAGAAGAGTTCTCGAGATTATTAAAGGCAAACTCGGCGAGGGGGAGGATAGTCAACCCAATCGTCCTGCTGGTAGGAGCAGTAGGGCGCGGAGGTAAGCCTCCAACGTCTGGTTCGTGCTTCCGTCAGACCGTCAGTCTGCGGGGTTGTACGCTGTTGAAGTACGAGTATCAATCTTAAGTAACGAAGTAAGGCTCAGACCAGAATTTAGAAGATTGAAAATGGAGCCAAAACGGCGGTCCGAGACTATGGGTCCCGGGAGTCCGTGCAGAGGTACGAAAGATGCGGTCCAAAGAACAACCAGGCTAGGTCGGGAGCCGTTAGCTGTCTCATTTGGTGCAACGGGACGAAATGTGCATAAACGTGTGAGACGGTCACAACGACCCCATATGGAAGTCATGGCCGTGTGAGGCGGGGAGTTTGACAATGAAGTCCATGGATAATGCCTTTCCATGGACGGGAGGGTATGTCGAGAGTTGGAGCAAGCCGTAAGGCTTGTGACGGGGTGGTCTTGATGCGTGCACAGGTATCACAGGCTTCTACGTAGCGTCTGACAAAGGTTTGCATGCCAGGCCACGAGTAGTCTCGTGCGACGAGCCCGAATGTTCTGTTGCGTCCTGGGTGGCCTGCTATGACTGCATCATGGCGGAGTGGAGGATGTCAGCGCGTAATGGTAAGGGTACAATAGTTTTCCCTTGTGGAACACAAGGCCACCTTCAGACGTGAAGTCTGAATTACCACGGATGAGCGCTTCTCGCCACTCGGAGTCCTTTTGAAGGGGCATTTTTGAATTGATCGAAGAGTGCGGAGTTGTCGATGGAAAGGGTCGTCATGGCGTTGATGATTGTTGGGTGGGTGTTGGGTGTTCGTGTGGGGTGTGAGTGAGTCTGTGTGTTTTGGGGTTAGCACGATACGGTTTTGGTTCAGGAGGGTTTCATCCCCCTTCTTGGGTGAGAAATCGCACGCCGGGAAGGCGCATCAGCGACGTTTGCCTTCCCGGGCGCCCAAAACGAGACGAAAGTCGAAAATCGGATAAGAACATGGCCCAGCGTGCCTGACGGCGGTTGAGAACTTGGGACGACATGAAGTAAGTGAGGTTTCTGTGGTCGGGAGATTACTGAGATTGGGTGTGGGGAGCCAAGGAGCCAGGCTCGCATGTCACGAAACGTATCAATGACAGCGAGCAGCTCCTTGTCATGAATCTCGTAGTTGATTTCTGCTGGGGACATCTTCCGTGAGTAGAATGCGACGGGATGGAGTGTGCCGTTGTCGTCGGGCTGTTGGAAAACACCCGATATAGCAAAGTCCGACGCATCAGTGGAGACGGTGCAGGGTTTCAGAGGGGTCGAAGTGCCGGAGGGTAGGGAATGAGGTGAATTCTCGCTTGAGGCTGTTGAAAGCCGTACGAGCAGCATCTGAGAAATTGAAACTAATATCTTTTCTGGTCATGTCAGTGAGTGGACGAGCGATGCGGGAGTAACCATTAATAAAACGTCGATAAAAGTTAGCGAGACCCAGGAAGGACTGAACCTCTTTGACAGAAGTGGGCTCAGGCCACGACACAATGGTGTCGAGTTTTTTAGGGTTCATCTTGATACCATCAGCACCAATGATGTAGCCTAGGTACTCGACTTCGGACTTGTCCCACTCACACTTTGCGGGGTTAGCACAAAGGTGAGCATCGCGTAGTCGGTCGAGTACGAGTTTGACGTGCTTGTCGTGGTCTTCCTGTGTTCGAGAGAATATTAGTATATCGTCCAAGTAGACGACGCAAACGATATCGAGTAAATCCCGAAGGGTATCCTGAATAAAGGCTTGAAAGGCTGCGGGTGCGTTAGTGAGACCATATGGTACAATGAGATGTTCGAAAAGGCCGAGTGGTGTCCTAAACGCTGTTTTCCACTCGTCGCCCTCCTTTATGCGGAGGTGACTATAAGCCGACTTCAGGTCGATGACAGAGAATACTTTGCAACCTTGTACACGATCAAGGAGATCATGAACTAAAGGTACCGGGTATCGGTTCTTTTTGGTGATGGCGTTGAGGCCACGGTAGTCGACGCAGAGGCGGAGCTCTCCAGTCTTCTTGCGGATGAATAAGACTGGAGCGCCAGCTGAGGAGGTTGAGCTCCGAACATGGCCGCGTTTGAGATTTTTGTTGACATATTCTGTTAGGGCTTCGCGTTCCGGTGGTGTAAGACGATAGAGGGGGCCAAATGGTGGTGTCTTCCCTTCCTCCAGTTCGATGTCGACATCATACGGACGGTGTGGCGGGAGTCTCTCAAACTCGGCAGGTGAGAATACGGTTGACATGTAATCCAGGTACTTGGGAGGGATGTTGTCAATGTCAATGTGAGGGGGGTACGGGAATCTCGTCATCAATCGAGTCAATGGAGCTCGAAGTGGTGGAGCGGATGAAGGCTGGAGAGGATGGAGAGTGGTAGCGCAGCAAGCACGATTCATCCGGATTGGAACGTGCGGTCTTTGCGAATTTCTTCGCAGAGATGAAACGGATGTTTGGCGCTGCAGAGGCTGCTGATGGGGGAGTGAGTGGATTGGGACGACCATAGCCGCCCCAGGACATGAGGGAAGCAAGGAACGAGGGTGTTGGGTGAGGTTTCACGGGCTCTGAGTCTGGAGCAGGTGGGTCCACACCCACTGCTGCTGCGGGCGAGAGTTTACTGGCAGAGTGTGATGCAGCGTCAGAGAGACCAAAGCCAATTCCAACGACTGCTGAGGCGTTGAGTTTGGATGGTAGCAGCTTCGGCTTAAGACCAAAGCCTTTCGCCGAAACTACCACAGGGTTCGAGCGGGTGAGTTCGCAACACTCGAGTGAGAGAGTGGAGTCCTCCCAGTCGATGTGCGGGTTATGCTGGCGAAGCCAGTCGAGACCTAGAATAATGGGGTAAGCTACAGACACGACCGCGAGGGATCGAGTCTCGTGATGATTGGAGACGGAGAGATGAGTAATGACATCATGGGTGATCAACCCAGATGCGATCGGACGGTCGTCAACCGCCATAATAGGTATGGGAGTGTCTTTGACACGGCGAGTAAGGGAGTGGCGAGCAGCAAAACGGTCAGAGATGCAGGAAGTGGTGGCACCACAATCGACAAGTGCGAACGTGTTGATAGGTTTTTTGTTTGGGAAAGAGAGGCGAACAGAGATGAAGAAATGTAGGGGTGAGTTCAAGTAAGAATTAGAAGAGAAGACGTAGGCGGGAGCAGACTTCACAACCGGGGTATAACTCCCATCTGACAGACGGGTATGAGTGGGATCCGGCGCCCTAGGATGGCTCTGACGTGTCCCGTCGTCTATGACCGGATGCCCTGGGACGGGGTGACAGCCGGTTAGGCTTTTCCCGAGTCGTTGCGCGCATTGAATTTCTTCTTTGCACGCTCGGACATGTTCGGGCAGGTCTTGACAGTGTGCTCGGTACCTCCGCAGTACAAGCAGAGGCCCTCAGCAAAGCGGCGATCACGCTCCTCCTTGGTGAGAGGCTGGCGTGGTACTGTCCTGGTGGCATCAATCTCCATCGGGATTCCTGGGGAGAGTGACGTCGAGGCAGATGGTTTGGGCTGGGCATTGCGCTGAGTGGTGTCAGTACCGGTTTGCTGACGGGGTGCAGGCTTTTTGGCAGTCTTGCGCTCAACCTCCCGACGATGAAGTCGGTTGTCGATGGTGACTGTGAGGTCGACATATTCGTCGAAGTTCGTGGGAGGACTGTGAACGGTCAGTAAGAGGTCCTTCACTTCATCCTTCAGTCCTTCATAATACTTCTGGATCGTGGTCGACGTGTTGAAGTTCACGTAGACGAGCAGCTCGCGGAACTTGGACGCGTAATTTGCGCAGCTCCCGGTCTGCCGGAGGTTTTCTATCTTGCGGAGGGCAGTGCCCTCGGTGTCGGGGTCTCCGAAGTGTTGCTTGAAGTCTTCGATCAGCAAGTCGAAGTCGTGGAGTAGGTCGTCGTTGGTCCGACGAATTGCTGTGAACCACGAACGAGGTGACCCATTGTCCAGGTAGGTGGAGAGGTAGAGGGCTCTGTCCATGTCAGTAGGCAAGGACGAACGTGAGAGTTCGACGGCACTGAGGATCTCGTCGACGAAGGCGTCAACTTCGGTTGCACTGCCCTTGAAAAGGCGTGGTTCCCGGAACTTTGCAACACCTCGTGGGGCGACTGAATCTAAAGGGTCCTGGTGCCCCATGGCACTTGTGGGCAAGGTGGGGAACCTAAGCGCAGCTATCTTATCAGTAATGTCTTCCAGAGCGCGCCCTATGGTACGCTGGTTCTCGTCTAGACGGAACGAGCTCTGTCCAAGGGCGGTGATGGCCTGGAGAACTTCGTTGAAGTTCTCCAGGGTCGGGACGAATGTGGACTGGGATGGGTGCGGGTTCTCCATGCCTGGAGTTGTGCTGTCGAAGTCTGACATGTTAGTAGTGTAATGCCTCGAGGCAACGGTAGAGTAGATTAATGAAATATACAAGTTTCGAGAGTTGAGTTTGGCGGGTTTGTGGTCGAACCAAACTGTAACGGGCGCTCTTCAAGCGGGAGAGACAAGCGAGGAGCTGAGCAGAAGGAGAGAGCCAGGAACTGGCGTTGGTTCGACGAAGGGACAGGTACAAAGCTCCGAGCCACATATAAGTATGTAGAGCGTGATAATGTAATGTGAAACATAGGAATGAAACTGGGCGCAGTAAACGCGTCAGTGAGATAAGGAGTCCGTGATTATCCAAACGAGCTGTTCCGCGCGGAACGGAGTACATCGGCGCAATGTTGATACTGTAAAGAGACCGTGTTATAGGTAGAATGGCCGTGGACTACGTAGAGTGCCCATGACCGTGACAGGGCACGCCTCACACTGGGACATCTGCGATTTTGGTGATGCGACGAAGAGCACAGGTGCTCTTTAGACTAGATAGAATTATCCGACATAGGGTAGACTACCCTGATGGATACAAATATGATTTTTAAAAAAAAAAAAAAAAAAACTTGCAATTGAATGGTTTCGACCTTTTGACATATGGTGTAATCGAACTTGGTCCAATTGCGAACAATCATGATCTGATGCCTGCGCAGCTTGAAGCTTGATTTTTTCCGAGTGTTTCTTGCACAAGCTTGCAAGTCAAGTCAGTGTGACAAAGTCGTGAGTCGATTATTATTACTCCTGCACTTGTCCTGCATACACTATTTTTAGAAAATGCTGAACCAGCTTTGCCACAACCATCTGCCTCCGGCGGACCGGCACGCCTAAGTTAAGCTTGAAATCGACCAGCGTCAACTTGCAGCTGTGCATTGCACCCAGATGTACAGCAAGGACTACACAGCCTCACTGGCATTGGTATACACTGGAATAACCACCCTCCCACAACTTCGACTTGAAGTTGATCATTTCGCTGCCCCGGCCCCAGCTCGTTACCATTGAACACACTTACTGGAGCACCTGACACCAAAGCATCGTTTTGGCAACGCTTCAACGCTTCAAGACTACATTGACGTGTTCGTGGCATTATGTCGTTCCTCAAGGCATCTCGCCCATATGATTCCTACCCACAGGCACCGTCGAACCCAATCAGTACTAATCCTTCTCCAAATATTTGTCATTTCACATTCTGTGATATAAATCATCGTTAATGAGTCAAGATCACTGTTAGTATTTCGATCTCTAATCTCATCCATTGTTCTCTGATTTCTTTATGTAACAGATGCTGGATCGTTTGAAGGAACTTGGGAAAAATTGTCTCAGGTCGCTGTCAAGGGCGCTGAATACGACTCCCGCGAACGTCGGCCCCACCCGAAATGTTTAAAAGGGACCCGAGTGGACCTTCTCGACTACATCCAGAGAGTACTAGACGACCAAGACAAGAGTCGACTGATTTGGCTGCATGGCACGGCAGGCGTCGGAAAGTCTGCTGTTGCTTTCACTGTAGCTGAAACGATGAGAGGTCTAAAAGTGACAGAGGAGACGAATATTGAAAAGCGGCTCACGGGAACATTCTTTTTCTCGCGAAAGCACACGAAACGCTGCACCACCGGTTATTTCTTTGCAACGCTCGTCTACCAGCTTGCCAGCAATTTTCCTAGCGTCCGGAAGGACGTCAACAGAACTATCCGCGATAATCCTGCCCTTCTAGACCCTGACAAGTCACTTCGCGACCAGGTGGAAGCATTGTTTATCCAACCTCTCCGAAAGCTTCATTTGAGACTGCGTGGGTGTCGACCTTTGGCATTTGTTGTTGATGCTCTTGACGAATGCACGTCTGAAACCGAGATTGGTGATCTCATCCTTTACCTTGCACGGGCTCTTCGTGAACCTGATCTTCCTGTGACCCACATCCTGCTTACGAGCCGCTCGGAACCGCATATCGTCAAAGCCTTTCAGAATGACGAGGTGTGCCCGCTGGTGCGCGAGATACCCGTGAAAATTTCGGGGGAGGGCGTTGCTTCCATCATCTCATTAGATGGTACAGATGTCGACAAGGACATCTGCACTTTCCTGCATCATTCCTTCACAGAGCTACAAATTCGCCATCCTGATTTCCCGCAGCCACCAAGGGATGTGCTTGAGCGGCTGGCCAGCCGAGCAGGCAGACGTTTCATCGTGGCATCTACGATGATGAAGTTTATTGACGACGGAGACAATGACCCCTGCGATCGGCTTCAAGTCATGCTGAATCTAGCGAGTGAATTGCTTCCAGGAACAGAGGTGTACAAGTTGTACGACTCTATCCTCTCCACATGCGCCGACTCCGAGCGGGCGTACCTGCACTTATCCATCGTCGCTGCCCTCGCGGATCCTCTCCCGATTTCACAACTCTCAAAACTTCTTGGCCCTGGCCTCGGCAGGGACGTCGAGACAACACTGATGCAGCTACGGTCTGTCATGGATATCCCCACCGACATCAGTCTCCCTGTGAATATTTATCACTCGTCCGTTCGTGACTATGTTTCCGACTCCTCACACTGCAGCATTTCTCAAGTACGCGATATTCCATCACCCCACTCCCTTCTCGCGCGCTCCTCTTTCCGCTTGATGATGAAAGAGATTCCAGAACGTTCGGCCCTCCTGGATGTGCTCTCAGGATTGAAGAAGTGCAGCCAATCTATGAAGTCCCAAGACCCCCGGGGGTTGCAAGAATCATTATCCTTCCTCGTTCAGCCACCAGAGCCACTGTCAGTTCTTGTCGGTCTGCTATGGCTTCGGGGGGATCGTAGTTCAGATTTAGAACCCTGGCTGAAGACTCCGGACGGGTGTGCCTGGCTGCAGACCCATAGAGGGACAGCCTGGCTTTGCACCCTGAGCGGGGAGAACTGGCTGCAGACCCAGGGGGGAAAAGGCTGGCTGCAGACTCAGGTGGGGAAGGACTGGTTGCAGATCTGGGCCGGAAAGCGCTGGTTGTGGTCCTTGGGTGGAACCATTTGGCTGCTGACCAAGGGTGGGAACGACTGGCTGCAGACACAGCAAGGCAAGGCCTCGCTGCAGACACAGTGTGGGAGGGAATGGTTGCAAAACCTGTTGGGAAAAACCTGGCTGGGAAGCCAGGGCGGGGAAGACTGGCTGAAAACCCGGGATGGGCGACGTTGGCTGAAGAAAGATGACTGGCGGAAGAAACACGACTGGTGGTCGGGGGTCTCACCAGGCTTTGCGCAGATGCGGGGCGTACAAATCTGTGCGCCGAAGAAGGACCGTTCATCGTTGAACCAGATCTGGCTGCGTCACAGTGATCACACGCAGAGGACGAAGTGGCTGCGGACCCCTGATGGACAGGATTGGCTGCAGGTCCCAGAGGGGGAGACTTGGCTGCGGACCTCAGATGGCCGACACTGGCTGTGGACCTGGTGGGACTGGTTGGGAACCGTTGGAGGAAAATCGTGGCTGGGGATGCAGGGTGGGCGAGACTGGCTACAGACGTTGCATGGAAAAGAATGGCTGCATACTCCCCGTGCGCAAAAGTGGCTGCAGACCCCGGACGGGCAAGGCTGGCTGCAGACCAAGCGCGGGCAGGACTGGCTGAAGACGCAGAACGGACGAGGCTGGCTGCAAGGCTGGCTAAGGACGCTGGACGGGCGAGACTGGCTGCATACCAATGGCGGGCGGGGCTGGCTACAGACACAGGGAGGGCAAGACTGGCTGCAAACACCTTATGGAAAAGCATGGCAGTCGACCCCTGCGGCCTCGGTCTGGATGACAATGGAAGAATTCTCGAGCACTTTGAAAACAATGAGCGAGAAAGAATTTATTCCAGAATCTTCTTTACTGCCAGCTTTCCAAGTAATCCAGGTGTTCAAGAGCTTGCCTGATCTCTTGATGTTTCCGGTGTTCGTCGCGCTAAGGCACCAAGATCATTCCAACCCTCCATCGCCAGAATTTCGTTTTTCACCAGACAGGGAGATTCTTCATGCTATGAATGCCTTTGGGACTTTCGCAAACGAAGCGCAGGAACGAAGTCGACCAGCATCTGACGCTCTCAAGTATGCATGTCAATACTGGGCCATTCATCTCTTCCGCGCTCCAAGTCCATGGGATGATACGCTCAGCAACATATTCAAGGCTTTCTGGAATCGTCATCTCCTCTCCTGGCTCGAAACGCAGTGGTGTTTGAAGGGTCTACGGTCTTGCCTCATTATTTTATCTATTGTGCAGACACTTGCAAAGGTGCGTGTATTTTGGCCTCACCGAACTTCCCAAACACTGATATTTTACTCCATAAGACACCATTTAATTGCAATCAACTAGGACCTGTTAATTTACAGCTGAATGAAATACTGCCAGCCATCGTTCCCGGCTCCAAAACATCCACGAAGGAAGCTTCAGCACTCGCTCCCACCTCCATGTGGACACAGCCGTCAACATCGTGGCATACTCCCTATATTCTTCCTCTTGCTCCACCCTTACAACTAACCCGTTTGACAATCCCCAGCACCAGTATTTCACATGCTGGCATATCCAAAAAGCGCAAGTTAAATGAGCTTAGCATTAATAGCGATAGTTCAGGCGGATTCGCTCCTACCCTATCAAAACGCCCGAAACGAAACCAACAGGTCTTGCAGGTGACTACATCCCAAGGGCGGCGTGGACGAGACCAAGGTGATAACCCTGCGCAGCATGATGGATGAGAATGTGCACAACCACGGGACGTTCGACGACTGTCAGGTGCGTCGTTCCGCATGTTCACCCTTTACATCTATCCAAACATGCAAAAACATTTGGCAGGACATCCTAAAGCCATCTGCGCTTCGATGCAACTCACCACGTCGGCGCCGTCAACAGCTAAACAGCCCACTACTCCTCTTCTACTCGGACACACTCGCCCTCACGGCACCTACACTGATCCCCATGCTACAAATCATTGCTCTAATGAGCAACCTCTGGGATATCTTTAGCGGGGTATTTTATGCAAATCACATTGTCCTACATGGGTTACATTCTCGTAACGGACATACATTGGACATAAAAATGCACATCGCATATGCATACTTACATTTATTACGATGTAAGAATGTATCTAGTACTGACAAATCTTCCATGAATCTGAGGTGTTGAATGCCATTCCTACGTGTGCTCGTCACCAACATCTAGTGTCTTTCCTCTTCATGGAAGTGTATCGCATGCAGTGTGCACGGAAATTTGTTTTTACACAAAACTTGAGCTCTTTCATAAAACATTCCAACGGATATACGACAGCGAAGGCGCGTCAAAAATATTATGGGTAAGGAGGGCGAGCTGTAACTTATACATGATTAGATGTAAGAATTATGGTAAGACACAGATGGCGTGGCATTCTACAGTGCAAGTCGTCGCAGTCAGAATTATGTGGTCCAAGACAGAAGCGAAAACAATCTCACGAAGCGATAGGCAAAAGGTTTACAAAGGCATTTTGCTTTTGTAGCAATCTAGATTCTATCCAAATTCGCTCCAAATATTGGGCTGGCGGAACTTCACCTGTGGCACTTGCGGTGGCGCGACCTATCCCTCAAGCTTTTTAGCTACTACTCACTCAATCTTAAGCCATGTGCTGAAAGTTTACCATGCGTCCCGCTTTTGTTCTAAGTCAACTGGAACGGTGGTTATCACTCAATCTTCCTTGAACCGATGCTTCAAACTGGAAATAGCAGTTCAAATCGAGGTAGTCCAAGGTAACCGATACGGAGTTGGATCCAGTGATCAAGTATGTAAATCAAGAATTGGATCTCCTCTGACTGTTCAGTTTTCCGTCGAATAATGTTTTTCTGTGTGGTTCGCAACTGATACTGACTCTGTCTTAGGAAGACTGGCCTTCGACGAACTCGATCCCATAGCTGGACTTGCCAATTCTGTGGCCAAGCTCGACTCCAATGTTCGAAATTCGGTCTCAGTGTGCTGGATTGACTGGCGATAATTCGCACTGGGAGTTACGGCCTAGCATCCACCCATGTTGATGATCTTGTAGATACGATGGCCTTGGAGATGTCGAGAACAGCGTTTAATATGTACTCGCTGTACACTTAGCTTCCTGAACTGATCACGCCATCAATGATCAATGATTCACTGAAGACGGCGATAACAAAGCAAGCTAGAAGTTGTCAAACAGAGAATCCTCCGCATCGAATCAGACTGATTCATGATATTATCGAACGGGACAGATAATTCACGAATCGCGACCTAGACCACCGTCGGAGTGTGCTCGGTGCCTCGGTTTGCGGCCCACGTCTCTGGTCCCTGTGATATTCCAGCATCCATGATCACATCCACCATAACACACCGAAGGAATTCCTACCGTTCTGTTATTAATTCTATGGTTCTGGATTCTTCTCGCGAACCACTCTACAGCAGTGGAACCAGTCTCAAAGTTTCTGTCAGGCTGCCTCTTCACCGCCTCTGCAATAATATGACTGGATTCAACAAGAGCCCGGAGGACTTTGGAGTTGCCCGGACGGGTAAAGAAAGCCAAGGACCACCGCTCGTATTCAGCCTGTGCGCCGGGAGGTGGACTGTCCATGGCAATTCGACAGATTAGCAAGGCTGGAAATTCAAGTACTCATGCACGCACACCACGCGGTGAATATTGGATTGCAGGATGCCTCCACTGAAAAGAGACAGCGCATCTCCAATATTGCAAATTGCATGTCCAGGAATGGGCTATCCGTAGATGAATGTCCGCTGCACGGGGGCATGAAACTCGTGTACTCACTCGTATGTAGGACCACTCGTTATGACCAGGTGGGAGCACTTGGAGTCCACCAAGGCGATTGTACAAGAAGGTCTGATAATGCTTGATTAAAAAACATGGCCGCACATGCCCAGTAACCCACCAGACTGCCGGAATCAGTATGGGCACCTATTATAGCCCTTTCCGTAGGGAGGCTGTGGATGCTTCTGGTCTCGCTACAACTGTGTTCCTCCACGTCACCCAGTCTCTCCAAAGTCCCTTTCGGCAGTCCAAGCCTGTCATTGAATATATTGAACACAACACATGTCACCTCAAGACCCTTGCGGATAAACGGTGCGATTGTGTTTTTCATGCGAGCATTTACGGTCGATGGGTAGGTGCGGTGAACGACCTGTGGATAAGCTAGTGCATCATCTTTAGAGACGTTTAGGAATTGAACAGCGTCCAAGGTGCCTATACTTGCGTCAGTTTATTGTTAGTGAATTGGACTGCAAATCCTACCAGTTGCATCAATCGCGTTGGCGCCAACTTTCTTGTATCTGATAAAGAACTCAAATAATGAGAGACACTCGTAAAAAATCAACACGGACCCGAAAGATTGTCCTGTGTCTCCTTGCTCGAACTTCAAACGTTCTTCAAGGGGCAGAGCCATTGCCTCAGCCCCCATATCAAACATGTCACTCACTTCTTGGTCTGCACCATGGTTCTTCAAACTTATGGAGAGTTAGGTTCGACGCATATTCAACAACATAAATACGACGTACTACCAGAATCCAATAGTTGTCGCTGCCTCCCACAGTCGGTTTACTTCCTCCACGTCTCCAGCCTTGATGAGCTCGTAATCAATAATCAAGAGAGGATGTGTTCGAACGTCGTCCGGGAAAGGAGGAAAAGTACTTCCAAGCATACTAATCTCAATTGAGGATGTTAGCATGGTAGCGTGAACAAAAGTGGATGAACCAACTTTGAGTGGGACAGCAGGATATGAAGAGTACTAAGTGTGTCAAAAGGTTGTGGGAAGGCCTTGACCTTTATTATACAACATATCAATGCGTAATCACCGCCTGACCTCCGAGAAAAAGGGAACCTTTCCTGGCTTGTCAAAGTAATGGCGACCCCGAGCGACTTACTTGGTGCCGGCTTTCTCCACGCACAGCCGATTCAGGCGCTTCTGCATTCCAGTTCCATTTGATACCCCCCCGTACCTTACTTAACAAGTTTCTTCCTTGTGACTGACTTTCGACGGCCGACCACGACTGAGATGTGCAGGATACGACCTAAGGATAATTGCAGGACGGGTATTTATCGGGCCCGGATATGAAAGTCTAAATCAAGTCCATTTCAATATCTTGTCCTAATAACAGATTTTGAAACCCTCGTCCGTTGAACGTGAGTGAAGGCCGAGCTGCACCGACACGGGAACCCAAGTCTCTGTTCGCGAGGAACGACATGGCATAGCAGCCATGAACATTGACCAACTGAAGAATGTGTTTAGCGCCATGGATAACAACGAGTGGGCAGTTTCTCAATATCATCATATCGGTATTGCTTCTGGAGACGTCTTGCACGACTTGAACATCGGCGACAGCAGCTGGTGGCGAACAAAGCCGTGGTGGAGACAGGTTGGATGAAGGAGTGGATCACGAGGATGACGTGACAATGATGGACCGGGTAGACAACCTAAGCGACAATGATGAAGAGGACGTGGAAAGTGGGAGGTGAAAGCTGCACGTATAGGCATTGCAGCATCTCTTATTGGAGGAAAAACGTTGTGGGTCGTAGCCTGCATACCAGTCAAGGGAAGTCCACTCGTGTAAAGTACAGCGTTCTGGACAGACAAGCTCCATAGAATAATGCAGTGCTCATAACATCCCGTCGCGCAGTGCGCACGCGGTGGAATGCTGCTTGAGTCACGAATTAAGAATGGCCTGGAATGTCGCGGGAGTAAAGTCTGTGTTGATTCAGAGTGTCGAAATCAGGTCAGTGCAGGCGGTTTGCAACGGTCAGCATTATCGAGTCCGGTGCAATACACGAGTCTCACAGACGAGAGAATTAGATTGATGGGATAGTAAAAAACATGAAGAAAGAGATGAGACTACAAGACAACTACATGGAAGCAACAATATAATTTGGTCAACATGTCGCAGGATTAATGCCCATTGGCATGTGGGGGAGATGCACAACAGAGGAAAAGTACGAGACGAGCCCACCATGGGATGGGTGGTGACTGCGCAGCTGCTACACTAGATGTGGTAGCATGAGTACCTGGTACAGGGGATGTCGTGGAAGTCGAGGCGGTGGCAGGCTGAGTTTGTGATGACGACGCCTGGGGCTGGCCGTGCAACTGGCTTTGCTGCTGCGGCCGCGGCCGTGGAGCAACAGCCAATGGCTGCAAATAAATCATTGAACAACGGCGATGGGAATGGCACGCGAACAAATGCTTACCTTTCTGTCCTGTACTGTAGGAACGTCGACAATGCGAGGTCCGCGAGAGAAGATGGTCCGCCTTGGACGTTGCTGGAGTTCGGTTGCTCCATCAGTCTCGGAGTGAGAGTGGCGGAACAGCGATGAAAAGCCGCTGAATAGCATTCGTGGATTCAAAGAAAAGGCAGGGCGGCGGGGGTCATGTGTGGGGGTATTGTGATGGGTACCGTGTGTTGCGGAGGACTGAGAATACAAATATTAAAACAAGAACTGGTCAACAGAAACAGATAACTCACCTGGGCGCCATCAAAAAATCCTGGCGGTATTCGGCGGGCATGAATAGCCGGACGTCGCGTAGCATCACTCTAAAGTGTCTTTAAAATGGCTGAAAAGCTTGAGAAACACGTCACGTACGGTCGCCAGCGATTTTGGAGCTGGGGCCTGCAAGTGGGAGATTAGTATAGTAGTTACCGAAGAACTGTGGGATTTACATGAGAGATGGGCAGGAGTAGATCTTCAAGGCCAGCTTGTTTGAGGATGGCGTGAATGTCCCATGTGTACACGTTTCCGTTTTTGCAACCAGTGACTAACACTTTTCCATCAGCGGAAAGGGCTGCGGACTTCAAACCATCTTCATGCTGGAGGGGTGGTCCGATCTGGAGATTCGTGTCGAGATTCCATAGATGCGCTGTTTTATCATATGATGCACTTGCAAGGAGGCGGTTGTTTGAAGACAAGGAGATGACGCGAACACTGGAAGAGCTCGAGTGACCCTCAAGAATGGCAATCTGCTCCCAAGTGGCTGTGTCGAATATCCTAATCGGGCCATGTGACCCGGAGATAAGCTTCTTTCCGTCCGATGTCCATGCCAAGCTGTAAACTGGGCTACTGTGTTTGAGTGTGGTGATCAACTCGCCCGTCTTGCTGTCCCAGATTTTGACTGCTTTTTCGTTGTTTCCGCCCGGGCCCGTTGCGATTTGTTCGTTATCAGGCGAGTATATCACCGCGTTCACGTAATCGTGTCCGGTTGTGATTGTTAGGACAGTTTTGCCGCTCTTGAAATCCCATACCCTTGCTGTCCCATCATGGGATCCGCTCGCTACTCGCTTGCCATCTGCACTCCAGCACAATGCACACACAAGATCGGTGTGTCCCGTCCATTTGGTGATGGCCTTCCTCGTCTCGATGTTCCACAACTTCACTGTCCTGTCGCTGCTTCCGCTTGCAACTGTTTTGTTGTTTGGAGACAATGCCATGGACCACATTCCTGCCTGACTCTCATCCCGCCAGTCCTCACCTATCTGTGTACCGCTCTCTAGGTCCCATAATCGGAGTGAACCGTCCACCGAACATGTGATTATCCGTCGTCCGCTGTGCAGATGGACAACACCTGTTACCCAGTCGGTATGGCCTCGCATCGTCTGGTGTGGCGTGATAGCTGACGTCTTACTGGTGGAGGGAGACATGGTCGGCGCTGGTAATTCCGTACTGCAGATCGGGGACTATGTTTGCGAGAGAAGCCCGCTGCGATTTTTCAACAAGACCGGGTTATCGGATGGCAATGGTTGCTGGTGAGTCCAGAGGCCTACTTCTTTCACGTTAACATTTGTCAGAAGCACAGAAGCCATTGCCCACGAGACAAGCCTACTCATGTGAATCCAGTCCTCGCCTAGAAGACAGCTTCGGGACTGTATATCCAGGATTTGCGGCGCTGTTATTCCAGAATGTGTTGGTAGGTATGTGCCGAAGCCGCTTTAGTAAGCAAGTGGTTGTCTTTAAACTGCAGAAGAGCTTATAGTATCACTCACGAGAAGCACCGTTCAGACGAGCTCAGTGCTCAATCACTAGCGATCAAAGGATGCCTGGTGTCTGGTTGGGAGAAGGGGAAGTTGGCCCTGTTCGTTCAAACCATCTTTTAAGGTGCGTCCCATGCGTCATCCTCGTGTTCGCTCCACAGCTTCATTGCTGTGTAAACCAAGCGCTCAGGTCTACGACCGGCACTATGTGCATCCTTTACGCAAGGAACTTCATGCTGGCGACAGAGTTCGACGGGAGCCTACATTTCCCCTCTACTTTGTTCTTACACAAAACTTGAGCTCTTTCATAAAACATTCCAACGGATATACGACAGCGAAGGCGCGTCAAAAATATTATGGGTAAGGAAGGCGAACTGTAACTTATACATGATTAGATGTAAAAATTCAGCTACATGGTAAGATACAGATGGCGTGGCATTCTACAGTGCAAGTCATCGCAGTCAGAATTATGTGGTCTAAGACAGAAGCGAAACCAATCTCACGATGCGATAGGCAAAAGGTTTACAAAGGCATTTTGGGAAGTAGGCTGATGATTCGGTACCGCTTCACAGTATGACCATCCTTCCCGAGATAGCGTGTGGAATTGAAGGACCAGTGCAAGGAACCGATCATCCAGTCCTCCAGTCCTTGGACATAGATAGCCACCTGCCTGTCAACCTCTTCTCCCCACGAGGGGAGAATGACACGGTTGTCTTCAAAGCGCTGGATGGTACCCTTGCACAGTTGGTAGGAGTAGTCGACAGCGTCTTGCAGGTTCATACGTTGTTCGCACATAAGCACGGCAACCATATTGTGTGGGCTATGAGAAGATTGTTCCACGTTATAAGATAATATGTCCTGTCAGCAGTGACGTCAGCAGTGCGCCAGCGCTCGACGACAGAATGGGACATTACGTTGACCCAAGAAATATAATCATTGGTTGCCTCCTCCATAGCCATGATAACTGGGTGCGACATTACTTCGTCGGGGAGATCAATCTTAGCTGCATATTCGATGAGGGCAAAGAAAGGCTTGCAGCCACTTGTGTCTCGCCTCGAGGATATGTAATATTCAAGATTCAACACACGTCCCTTGACACGGTCATCAACCTCCTGAGCTGAGGCGATGAAGAATAAGTCCGTTGTGCGGATAAGCCTCTCGGTGCAGCCTGGACCGCCCGTCTCCTTAAAGCGACTGAAAAATCTAATAACGACGATTAGTAGGTGTGTTTATGATAGATAAAAATGATTACGATTTGCACGGCACCAAAGCACCTGAATAACCCGAACGAGAGTTAGAATACTAGCCTCCAATAGGCTAGGGCTCTCTGCTAGCATAAGATACTAGAACTCTGGCTTGTCCCAAGTGACTTCACCCCATCCGAGTCAGGACAAGCATGAAATCATTATGATTGGGGACCGGAGAAGTTCTACTCCGGCAGTACTATATATCACTGAGAGTTTTCGGCATCGGATGCTCTGCTTTTGTAGCAATCTAGATTCCATCCAGATTCGCTCCAGGCTGGCGGAACTTCAACTGCACTTGCGGTGGCGCTCAACTTCAGGAGAAGCCTTCAAGGACCCGATGTGTTGCGTTGCTTGGTGACGAATCGGGTACGATATATTCGATGTAAAGACAAAAGTGCGCTTCGTGACTAACGACAGTCTGGTGGTTCAGAAATTAAGGATGGCGCAGACAGATAAGGGAAAGTGGATGCTCCTTGGACCCGTACCAAGTGGCACCCCCAACAAGGACCCCGGAAGACTCAACCAAATCTTTGCGCCCAACGGCAACAAAGACGTCAAAAGACGTCCTCCCCGCCTTCTATCTTCTATCTCTCTTAAGAACTTGCTTTTATATACATATACCATACACCAATAAAACTACAAAACAACAAAATATCCCTCAAATCAAAAATCAAACAAAAACGGTAAAATACGGTAAAAATGGCGCCAGCGCCAACCAATCAAACCCTGTCTACTAACCACACCCCTGTAACAACTACCACCAGAGGCCGCAAAACCACGGCCAACAAACCCCTCCTATCAATAAGCAAAGAAATAATAGATCATTTAATAGGATCAGATGTCAGATCCGAGATCAAAGATGAAACAGCGGCAATAAAACTTCTTATAACACATGGCCTCAGCCTACCTACAGCATGCAACGTGATCAAGCAAACAGCCCACGCCCTGCTAGAATTCAGCATCACAGCAAACCTAGGCGCAACACACGTGGACATCCTTCGTTCCATTGCAATACTACTCATCGAAGCCGAACAACACCTGGACGCAGGAAAACTCATTGAAAAAGTAGCAAAACTCATACAAGGACCACTCGCACAGTTAGAAGAGAAAACCACAAGAATCGAAGAAATCACCGCCACCCACAAAGCAGCCTTAGAAAACGCGGCAATAGAGCTGCGTGGCCATCTCTCTAACTCATCCGAGAACATCGAGAAAGTCGTAACGAAAGCCACCAACGTTACAAATACCCAATCAAAAGAGACACATCCTGACGGGATACAATCTTATGCAAACGCGGTTAGAACTAACATATCACCTCCATTGTCCAAGCTCCTAGCCCGCAACGAAGCGCAAGCAAAGCAAATCTTGATTGACAGACGCTCTTACGGAGAAATAGACACCCTCAGAGAGTTGACGGAAGCTGAGCTAGTAACCAAAGCTAAGCTGGCTATAGAACTTGTAGAAAAAGACGGCGTCACCATCCCCTCAGGATTATCTTTCCAATCAGCACGACGACTCCCCCATGGAGGGATACTATACGAACTAAACTCCGTAACGTCAGCCCAATGGTTCAACTCCCCTGCCCATCGAGGAAAGTTCACAGCCAACTTCGGAGCAAACGCAACCATCAAAGACCGAGCCTTCAACATACTGATTGAAAATGTACCAATATCCTATGACCCAACCTCAACGCGCATCAATACAGAACTCGAAGCGAAAGGAGGCCTTAAACCCGGAACACTCACCAAAGCCAAGTGGATCAAGCCATTGACACGCCGGAAGACAAACCAACGTACAGCACACGCGATATTAACCCTCAAGACCAAGGAAAGCGCCAACCAAGTACTCCGTTTTGGAATCTCAATTGAGGGAAAGAAAGTATTTGGACGCAAACTACTACCGGAACCGACACGCTGCCTCAAATGCCAATCTTTCGACGGCCCCCACGTAGCTGCAGAATGCACTCAAGAACACGACACGTGCGGAACATGCGGAGCAAAACACCGCACGGCAACTTGCAAAGTAGACGACTCCAATTACTATCAATGTACTAATTGTGATTGCCAGGGCCACGCATCATGGAGTCGAGAATGTCCCACCTTCATAAACAGATGGGAAAACTCCAAGAACAGATCCGAAGACGCCAAATATCGATATTTCCCCACCGACGACCCACTCACCTGGGAGAACGCAAACAGCTACAGCTACAGCAATCAAGAAGAAGAACAACACGAAATCCCGAGACAACGCATATGGACCCAACCGACGACTGACCCGAACTCCCATGGCAACTACGGACGGCTCCAAACCAAGCTCCCACTACCGCAAAACCCCCAAATCACCCAAAGGCCAGAAAAACCGCCCAAACGCAACCAACAGCGAGAAAACCCAAACTGTATACCGATTGGAATGGGATCCCAAGCTCGCTTAATGAGCAACTGGCTCAATCCCCAAACACCAGCCCCCACACCACCAGTGGAACACCTCCCCTCCTCAAACCCCTCAACTCCTAACTCCTCCGCAACCACCCCCCTAAGATTCCCTTCCTCGACCCCAGAGTATGACAACAATGAAAGACCCCCACCCACGAACATGGCATAATGCAGGACGACCAACACGCACAACCCCCCAGCACTGACTTTCGAATCTGGCAACAAAACCTGCGGAAATCATCAAATGCCTGGGAGCATATGCTCCAGAATCTAGACCCTTCCTACTACGATATCGCCTGCATCCAAGAACCATTCCTTAACCCTGTAGGACTAGCTAACGCTTCCAACCTTAGACGCTTTTGGGATGTTATATACCCCTCCAATCACCACGCTAACCCCGAACGCTCGCAGACCATCCTACTTATCAACAAGAATTTATCCAAGAACAATTGGCACGTCATCCCGCTCGACACGCCGAACGTGACCGCCATCGAGATCCACGGCAACTTTGGAAAGGTGCGTATCTATAATATTTACAACGCGTGCGATCACTCGAGAACCCTCCAATTCATGGAGCAACACTTAATCGCCGAGGAGGCAGTTCATCGAAACCTCCCCCGTACCATTGCTCAAGGCAACAATAGAGCGGACAACGTCCACATGATATGGATGGGCGATTTCAATCGCCACCACCCCATGTGGGAACTCACGAGCAACTCCCACCTATTCACCGCAGCGAACTTAGACGCTGCGGACCTACTGATTAATCTCCTAGCTGAATATAGTCTAACGCAAACGTTACCCCACGGCATCGCAACCCTCGAGGCGTCGAACACGAAAAACCACACGCGCCCCGACAACGTGTTTTGCTCAATCGACATTGAGCATCTATTTACAAAATGCGCGGTAGAGTACCAATTACGACCGGTTATAACTGACCATTTCCCAATAATTAGTGTACTCGATCTTCAACCAGAACGAACAAACCCCACACAACGTCCAAATTTTCGAAGCGTTGACTGGGACCAATTCAGAGAAGCCTTAACGTCCCACCTAGAAGTATACCCCCCACCCACTAACATCCCATCTATAGACACATTCAAGATCGCCTTCAAACATCTAACTCGAGCCATCGCAAGAACAGTCGAAGACCACGTACCGAAGACAAAACCATCACCCTACGCAAAACGGTGGTGGTCGAACGAACTCAACGCGGAACGCAAACACGTCCACAAGCTCGGGAAGAGAGCCAGAACCCATCTCAATCGCCGACAAGACCCCGTCCATGAAGAATACCGACTAGCACGCAACCGCTTCTCCGAGAACATCAAGAACGCCAAGAAGGAACACTGGGAAGAATGGCTCGAGGCCATCACACCATCAAACATATGGGACTTCCATCGATATGCCGCAAGCGACCCAACGGATCAGATCCACACGTGGATCAAAACCCTGAAGGACCCACAGAACCCTGGAAACGCCTCCGCCATGCAGGACAACGAGAGAAAGAGTCAACTCTTATATGACGTATTCTTTAGACTACCGCTGGACGAGGAACATGTTGAGCCCGATTTCACCTATAGTCCACCCATTTGCGAGTTCGCACCAATAACTAACGAACAAATTTTTAGAGCTATATCGAAGTTATCTCCCTACAAGGCGCCTGGCCTGAACGGCGTATGCAACTGCGTATACAAGAAATGTGCAGAGCAACTGGTACCCTACATGGCCCCCATATTCCGCGCAACATTCGACCTCGGATACTACCCAGAGGACTGGAAACTATCATCGACCGTAGTCCTACGAAAACCAGGAAGACCGGACTATAGCCTGCCGAAAGCGTACAGGCCCATAACCTTGCTCGATACCATGGGTAAAATTCTCTCATCGTGCGTTGCTGACGACTTGGTCTACATAGCAGAACACCACGGCCTTTTACCACCAACACACTTTGGAGGCCGGCCAGGAAAATCGACAGTCGACTCCTTGCATCTACTAACAAAATTTGCAACGGACGCCTGGGCATCATCGGAACCCTTCGTCTCAATTCTATTCCTCGACGTAAAGGCCGCATTCCCGAGCGTAGTAGTGAATCGAATGCTCCACAACATGCGACAAGCTGGAGTCCCACTAACGTACATTGACTGGTACAGAAATAGACTAAGCAACAGATCCACAACGCTACATTTTGACGACTACTGCTCCAACCCGTTCAACGTGTCTAACGGGGTTGATCAAGGTTGTCCCTTATCGGTAATAGGGTTTCTTTTCTACAACGCGCCTGTCCTTCGAGTGGCCGATCCTAACCCACGACGAGGAGAATTAAGCTTAGGCTTCATCGACGATATCGCTATTGCAGCACGAGGCAAGACCTACGACGAAGCAAACGGAAAGCTCAAGAAGATGATGGAAAACCCAAGGGGTGCTTTAAATTGGAGTAGAGAACACAATGCTGACTTCGAACTAGATAAAACGGCACTCCTTTGCGTATCGCGACGTCGAGAACCAGATCCCACCCGCCCAGGAAAGACCATCGCAACACCCCGACCCTCTATCACCATCCGCAACCACGTCATTGAACCGTCACGATCCCACAAATTCTTAGGAGTAATAGTCGACGACGAGCTCACCTTCAAAGAACATGCCACGTATGCCTTAGCCAAAGGCACGCGATACATGATGGCATGCCAACGGATGATGAGAACCGTCAAAGGCGTCCATGGACGACTACTAAAGAAGCTATACGAAGGCGTAGTTGTCCCCAAGATGCTATATGCAGCGGACGTTTGGTGTTCCGGACTCATTGCTAAGGGAAGAGGAAAGACCAACTCGGGGCGCGGCGCACGAGGCTTCGCGTCCAAAATGTCCAGAGTCCAAAGAATGGCCACCACGATGATAACGGGGGGATGAGAACCACCGCCACTGACCTCTTAGACGCGCATGCTAATATCCTTCCTTTCCAGCAGTTACTACGCAAGGTGTGCCACAGAGCCACGCTGCGCATGGTCACCATGCACAAGTCGCACCCCCTCCACAAGGTGATATGCGCAGCGTACAACTCATGCGCACGAAGGAACTTCAAGAGCTGCAAAAGACACCCATCACCATTACACCGCCTACTCAATGAATTCCAGCTCAGCCCGCACACGGTAGAGATCATCGAACCGACACGCCACTACCCCAAGTGGTCCTCAGATGTTGCAATAGACATCGCCACGGACATGGCCACAGCAATCCAGGACGACGAGTACGCGGAAGAGGGGCTAAGAGTTTATTCAGATGGATCAGCAGTGGACGGGGGGGTTGGAGGAGCGGCGATATTGCTGAGGAACGGAGAGGTGACGAGAGCAAAGAGATTCTGGTTAGGAAGTGATAAGGAACATACGGTCTACGAGGGAGAAGTGATCGGGATGATCCTAGCCATAGAGATCTTGAGGGAAGAAGGAGGAGCGGGCACCATGGCCCTCGGGGTGGACAATCAAGCTGCCATTCAGGCGACCAGAGCCTTCGCATCCAGACCAGGCCACTATCTAATGGATAAGTTTCATGATGACTTACGAAGACTCATACCCGCGCATGACGCACGCAAACTCACCATATGGTGGACTCCAGGCCACCAAGGAATACCAGGCAACGAACTCGCAGATGAGCAAGCGAAGATGGCAGCGGGCGGAAACTGCAGCGACCCTAATGAACTACCCAAATCCCTCCTAACAACACGCACCCGCACAACCCTCACCCTCCCCATTAGCAAGTCCGCCCTCAAGCAGCAGTTCACATACAAGATCAAAGAAGAAGGCGCGCAAATCATGAGAAGCTCACCACGATACGAACGCCTCCACGAGATAGACGCAACAGCCCCGTCGAAGAAATTCTCCAAGCTAATAGAACACCTCCCACGTCGACACTCGTCCCTGCTGTTCCAGCTCCGAACGGGCCATGCGCCATTGAACAAACATTTGCATCGAATAGCCAAAGTCCCAAGTCCCACTTGTCAACAATGCCACCAGCACGAAGAAACCGTCCACCACTATCTACTCGCCTGTCCAGGATACACCAGACAACGTCTCACCCTCTCACGTGAACTCGGACCTATCGCTAGCCACCTGAAGAACCTATTGAGTAACCCTAAGTGCACCAAACCCCTACTCCGCTTCATAGCGAGCACGCGAAGAATGGAACAGATATTCAGTGATGTCACACCACCGGCGGACGAAGAAGCAGAAGAATAATAAGCAAAAGAAACCCCACACATATTATCGCCTTTAGCTGGCCTTACCCGTTCTCGCTCCAAACCTGGACCAATGTCTTACACAACCTGACGCATAGAAGAACACAACAGATTAGAGTAAATACGCGCATGTACTGTCTACCATAGGGCATTGCCCCAACGGACAATAAACGATGATTCAAAAAAAATAAAAAAAAAATAAGGGAAAGTGTTGGTGTTTGGGCACAAGCCCGAAGCCAGGGTATGAACCTGGGCGTCAGAAGTGAGCTGTGATGGGCGGGTGGGCCTGATTAGCTCACTTCGTGCTTGAAGCCTAGGAAGCGTACACTGTGCGTCGGACAAAACAATTAGGTTGTTCGGTTTTAAATTAAACTAAGTTTTGCTTTTGTTCGTGCTGATCTTGGGAGAGGCGGGAGGGTGCAAAAGATTGACGTCTAGCGTCTTAGGACTTAGAGTGAGAGGCTGCGAGGTCACCGAGGTGGGCAGAAACAAAAGGCTCTGTGCCACATCGCTTACCTAATACATGTAGACTGTATTCTACGCACGCCTTGTGCCTCGGCTAGCGTAGAAATCCACCTATCCTCAAGCTTTTTAGCTACTAGTCACTCAATCTCAAGCCATGGGTTGAAAGTTTACCACGCATCCCGCTTTAATTCTAAGTCAATTGGTACGGTGGTTATTACTCAAGCTTTCTTGAACCGATGCTTCAAACTGGAAATAACAGTTCAAACCGAGGTAGTCCAAGGTAACCGATACGGAGTTGGATCCAGCGATCAAGTATGTAAATCAAGAATTGGATTCTCCTCTGACTATTCAGTTTTCCGTCGAATAATGTTTTTTTGTGGTTCGCAACTGATACTGACACTGTCTTAGGAAGACTGGTCTTCGACGAACTCGACCCCATAGCTGGACTTGCCAATTCTATGGCCAAGCTCGACTCCAATGATCGAAATTCGGTCTCGATGCACCGGATTGATTGGTGATAATTCGTATTGTGAGTTACTGGTGGCCTAGCATTCACCCATGTTTATGATCTTGTAGATACGATGGCCTTGGAGATGTCGAGAACAGCGTTTGATATGTACTCGCTGTACACTTAGCTTCCTGAATTGATCACGCCATCAGTGATTACTGATTCACTGAAGACGGCGATAATAAAGCAAGCTAGAAGTAGTCAAACAGAGAATCCTCCGCATCGAATCAGACTGGATATTATCGAACGGGACAGATAATTCACGACCTAGACCACCGTCGGAGTGTGCTCGGTGCCTCGATTTGCGGCCCACGTCTCTGGTCCCTGTGATATTCCAGCATCCATGATCACATCGGCGCCGCCCCTCCACCATAACACACTGAAGTAATTCCTACCGTTCTGTTATTAATTCTATGGTTCCGGATTCTTCTCGCGAACCACTCTACAGCAGTGGAACCAGTCTCAAAGTTTCTGTCAGGTTGCTTCTTCACCGCCTCTGCAAATAATATGACTGGATTCAACAAGAGCCCGGAGAACTTTGGAGTTGCCCGAACGGGTAAAGAAAGCCAAGGACCACCGCTCGCATTCAGCCTGTGCGCCGGGAGGTGGACTGTCCATGGCAATTCGACAGATTAGCAAGGCTGGAAATTCGAGTACTCATGCACGCACACAACGCGGTGAATGTTGGATTGCAGGATGCCTCCACTGAAAAGAGACAGCGCATCTCCAATATTGCAAATTGCGTGTCCAGGAATGGGCTATCCGTACATAGATGAATATTCGCTGCACGGGGGCATGAAACTCATGTGCTCACTCGAATGTAGGACCACTCGTCATGACCAGGTGGGAGCACTTGGAGTCCACCAAGGCGATTGTGCAAGAAGGTCTGGTAATGTTTGATTAAAAAACATGACTGCACGTTCCCAGTAACCCACAAGACTGCCGGAATCAGTGTGGGCACCTATTATTGCCCTTTCCGTAGGGAGGCTGTGGATGCTTCTGGTCTCGCTACAACTGTGTTCCTCCATGTCACCCAGTCTCTCCAAAGTCCCTTTCGGCAGTCCAAGCTTGTCATTGAATATATTGAACACAACACATGTCACCTCGAGGCCCTAGTGGCAGCACCCGAGCCCCTAAGTCCGACTGTCCATCATGTGAGGCCTCTATAAATCATATTCTGCAAGCTTACAGCGAGAAAAAGAATGCGTCGTAAGCACTTCAGTTTCAAACAAGGTCTTCATTGATCTTTGCTCGAGCAGCAGTAACATTTGTTCAGAAGCAAGTACTCAGTCCTCAGTAACGAACTGCTGTGCCGTCAATTACACTGTATTAATGCGAAAGCAGAAACACGACTCACTGTGGCTCAGCGCTCAGTTGGACACGGTCTGACACGTATCTATGTATGCAGGCTACCGTGCCGGTGAGTCGTGGGGTTAAATACTGGATGAAAACTACTCATACTCACTGCATCAACTCCGTCATAGATTAATTCTGGTAGGCATTCATCACCAGTGCAGCAATCTGAATTCGAGTCGCAAAGATAGTTACAATTGTCAGCACTGACAAGCATAGACGCTGTCAATGCAGCGACAGCGGCGAGGACAAATGCGAGACGCATTGTTTGTGAGATGTGATATTGGCTCTCGAAAATAAATCTGGAGGGGGACAGTAGGAGGACGGGTTTTATGTCCTGAATAGTGTTCTATGCAGAACCTATCCACCCGTAATACCCCTTCAAACAGATGATATTTGCAATGCCAGCAGATTGCCAACAGATGTTTCTTACTTGCAATGTCCCTGATATTCTGCTGACGACAGAACATTAATATTGGTGATGTACCATGTCAAGCCGATGCAGTACAGCATACATTACTAGGTGACAAGAGGATCCCAGAAGGTGAGCTCAGGAGTTTCATGGATGCTGAGAGAACTTCAGAGTCTCATCATGCATTGGACACGCGACGCAGGATACTGGGAGATCGGTAGCTGATGCTTAGGAGATCTGAATTCCGAAGGAGTGTTCCCCAGGTAGAATACACACGATGCACACTGCGCAGTACTATGTAGTGCTAGCCCTAAGGATGGCAGTGATCGTCGAAACCCACATCCAGCGATTTGGCAAATACGTATCTCTTTAAATTTTGACGTTAGTTCTATACATTTTTCATAGCGAGCACAGACGTGGCACCTGACGCGATAAGCGGGAAGAAACGTTGTATTCCTTCAATTGGTCTGGCCAGATGAGATCGCTTCGAAGTTTATTCATGCTGCGAGGATGGAGCGTTGGTGTATGAGCGCTTGAGCGCTTGTGTCCAGTGCATGAGAGCGGTATTTACGTATGGTGGATCAAATTTGGTGACGGTTCGATTTGCCGTCATGCCGCATACTTTTTTCATAGTGCGTGCGGGGTACGGGTGCTGTAGGACCCGCATTTTCTGCGCCCTACACAACCCCTCCCCTCTGAGTGAATCATTGTCTCCGCCTTTGCGTTGTTTCTCACTCTCTCTCCAGTGTCTCCAGTGTGGCACCCGTGTCACCTGGTGGATTACGGTAGTTTCCGTGTCCTCTCGAATTCTCGGCACAACCCCAGGCCTCAGCCGTCAGACAGACAGTCTCCCACTCTCAGCAAGTATCTAGTACTAGCGCTGAGTCAGTGCTAGTACTAGATAGTATACTTGCTGAGATCTCAGCGAGCTCGAGCTTGTCCTAGCATATTGTTGTACGTTTAATTATTTCAACATATTTCATTGGCAAGATTTCTGACGCCGATAGTTGAACAATCCCCTCTCGCTGAATTGATTGGTGCTGAAAGAAGGCGTACTTCTGACCTGTAGCATGCATGCACTTTTTTCATTTCTACTCGACGGTATGTAAGATGCATGGTAGCTGCGCACGCGTATAAAATGGTAACAGTGACCTCAATGAGTGATGTTCAACATCATGGCTGTTTGATACTCCGAGCTCGAGGAGGATGACACACAGCTCGAACACGCTTCTCCCGGGTCAACGAAGCTCTGATATGGGGAGGTAGGTCACGACGGCTCGTTTCCTGACTCTTCACTCGCGGAATAGTGGATGACACGACGCCATCCCAAACACACCTGCAAGCCTACGTATCCAGGCAATGCTTTCATTGTCTACTCAAGGCTGCTTAGACTGACAATTCGATTATACTGGTCAGTGGCGTTGAATCCAACTCCGCATCTTCATCCAGCTATACACGAAGTACGTGGAAGTGGGAGATTAGTTTGTCAATTCGGTCTCATCGCCGTACCAAGTACTGTACGTGGGGTATCTATATATATCAGGCATTGACAATGTCAGTGAACGTCTGCGAACAAAAATTGTTGCGTCTGGTACGTAAATATATCTCGTTCAGTTGATCTGCTTCTGAGTCCACGTGCATCCCTAATTCCTTATCACAGCGCTGGCCAGGCACACCAAAGATAATCGCCCCCCAGCTCTTCATCCTTCGATAACATGGCCTCCCAAAGCATCATCCCTATCCCTGCAGACTCACCTTTTTCATTAGCAAATATCCCCTTTGGCATATTCTCCACCCAATCGCAAGTCCGACATCTTATGTCCAACAATCCATATCGGTACTGATAATATCCTGCAGCCCACCCCCCGTCCTGGTGTAGCCATTGGGGAACATATCCTCGACCTCAAAGTCCTCGCGCTAGAGGGGATATTCGCAGATTGCGATGTAGCGTTCCCGAATGATGTCCTCTCGAATGTAGTGAAATCCACATTTTTATGGTACATTCGAATTTCCACTCAATGGCATGTATGCAGACAACCCTCAATGCCTTTGCTGCTCTTGGGAGGCCCACTACGTCTGGCGTACGCGCATATATCCAGTCACTCGTAACACGATTGTCTTCTCCCCTACACTCGAACCCTTCTCTCCTCGAGAATTGCACTGTAAGGCAAATGGAAGCAACAATGCACCTCCCATTTGATATCGGCGATTTCACGGATTACACGAGTTCCAAGACTGTAAGCGTCACATATATGTATAAGGTTGGATAGGTTGATGTCGTGCGGTGGTGATACAGCATGCGAAGAATACGCATTCGGGACATGGACATGGAGGTGTTGATGTTGACATGTGCGTCCATATCCTACCATCCTCCACTACGGGACTAAACTATTATTCGCTATATGCATGGAATAGGTTCCATCCTCCTCGTGCAGCTTCTGGACGCGCATCTACCATCCTTCCCTCTGGTACACCTATTGTTCGGCCCATGGGTCATCTCCCTCTGGCCCCTACGCGGGACCACCTGTCATCAGACCTCCTGTTAGGGTCCTCTGAAGGTTCGCTCACGTCTTTTGAACGCCTGACCAGTGCGTCTCCTGAAAGAACATATTCAGGGTCCCTCAACGATATCCATCCAGAAACCCTCAACCACCTTTTAGCAGACACTGCCGGAGAATTCAGGACTCTCGCTCAAACAACAGGATTCACGCTCGCACCCACGAACGAACTTGACTTCGAGCTCGAGCTCGCGTTTTTCATTGGTGTCCCAACTGAGTACTTTGAACGCTTACCAGTGGAGAAAGCGGAGGATCATATATTTGGTGTTGTGTTGCTAAACGATTGGAGTGGTGCGTTCTTCTTTTCACTTTGCATCTTCTTTCATTTTCCATTCGTGTCGTTTGCCGGGCCTGTTTATGCTAATACTCGTAAACAGCGCGAGACATCCAAAGCCCGGAAACCCTCCCCTTCGGTGCATTTAATGCAAAGAACTTTGCGAGCACGATCAGCCCGTGGGTGGTCACACTCGATGCGCTGGAACCCTTCAAGATCGCACATGACATACGGAGGGTCCCATCGTACCTTGTGGATAAGGGAGATGCGACGTATGATATATCAGTCAGCATGGAGGTGATTCCAGACGGACCGGAGGAGAGGGAGATGGGGGTGGCGAGATCGAGTTTGAGGAATTCGTATTGGACGTTTCGGCAGATGGTGCGTCGTTATTTGCTTTTTCTTTCGTCGTGGGATGTGGCCAATCCTAATGGAATCCTGGCAGCTTTCCTTCCACACCCTCTCGGGATGTCGCATGCGTACTGGGGATTTGATAGGAACGGGAACGTTATCTGGAGAGGTTTGTTCTTTCTTTTCCTTGTACAGTTGCCCAACGCACCTTCACTCATTCCCTCGCAGGACCCAGCCTCCCTCTGTTCCCTCATCGAGCAGCGCAGGCACTTCCCTAACCGAATGTTCTTACAAGACAGAGATAAGCTTGTGTTCACGGCTTGGTGCGGGTCACCCCGAAGAGGAGTAGGATTTGGAGAGTGTTGCGGGGTAGTGCTGCCTGCGAGATTGTAACATCACTACACGGCATGCTGAAGAGACATTGGGCGGCAAGAGACCATCCCTATTGATGATCGTTCATGGCCCCCGAGGAGGGGGGAGGGTCGCAGCCCAGAGAAGGAACTCGACCTACACGGTAAATTTATACGGCAGTGGAGACTACAGCCTACAGCTCCCACATGGATGCTATAAACACCCATATTAATGGCAGCCTGGCGTCTGACTGTCACACGGTTTGCGCCCTAGCTGTCATCTGTACAATATTAAATAAATGAGCGACAGCGAAGGTAATCAACGTGACATAAGCAACGAACGAAAGTTTTACAGAGAAAAGGACCGTTTGCGTTTGACAGAACCCTTCTCCCACTAATCGTGGGAGCCGGGGATACCGCTCTCATGCAGGGAATTCTACTGGGCACAAGCGCCCAAGCGCTCGTACACCAGCGCTCCATCCTCGCAGCATGAATAAATTTCGAAGCGATCTCATCTAGCCAGATCAATTGAAGGAATACAATGTTTCTTCGCGCTTATCGCGTCTGGTGCCACGTCTGTGCTCGCTATGAAAAATGTAGAGAACCAACGTCAGAGTTTAAAGAGATACGTATTTGCCAAATCGCTGGATGCGGGTTTCGACGATCGCTGTCATCCTTAGGGCTAGCACTACACAGTATTGCGTAGTGTGCATCGTGTGCATTCTACCTGGGGAACACTCCTTCGGAATTCAGATCTCCTAAGCATCAGCTACCGATCTCCCAGTATCCTGTCACCTTCTGGGATCCTCTTGTCACCTAGTAATGTATGCCGTACTACATCGGCTTGACATGGTACATTGCCAATGTTCTGTCGTCAGCAGAATACTTATCAGGGACAGTGCAAGTAAGAAACATCTGTTGGCAATCTGCTGGCATTGCAAATGTCATATGTTTGAAGGGGTATTCCGGGTAGATAGGTTCTGCATAGAACACTATTAAGGACATAAAACCCGTCCTCCTACTGTCCCCCTCCAGATTTATTTTCGAGAGCCAATATCACATCTCACAAACAATGCGTCTCGCATTCGCCCTCGCCGCTGTCGCTGCATTGACAGCATCTATGCTTGCCAGTGCTGACTATGTTTGTAACTTATTTTGCGACTCGCAGGCAGATTGCTGCGCTGGTGATGAATGCCTGCCAGAAGACGCATTTGATGTGAGTATGAGTAGTTTACATCCAGGATTTAACCCCATGACTCACCGGCACGGTAGCCTGGATACATATTTACGTGTCAGACAGTGTCCAACTGAGCGCTGAGCCACAGTGAGTCGTGTTTCTGCTTTCGCATTAATACAGTGTAATTGACGGCACAGCAGTTCGTTGCTGAGGACTGAGTGCTTGCTTCTGAACAAATGTTACTGCTGCTCGAGCAATGATTAATGAAGACCTTGTTTGAAACTGAAGTACTTACGACGCATTCTTTTTTATCGCTGTAAGCTTGCAGAATATGATTGATAGAGGCCTCACATGATGCATGATGGACAGTCGGACTTAACACACTGACATCATGATGTAGTTGGTTATAAAGTTCAACCGCCTGCACGTGACTTGAACACCATTCCTCGGAGTCCTCTGAATCAACACAGACTTTACTCCCGCGACATTCCAGGCCGTTTTCAATTCGTGACCCAAGCAGCCATTCCACCGCGTGCACAGGGTGACAGGGCGTTATGAGCACTGCATTATTCTATGGAGCTGTACCGCAATCTGTCGGAGGACAATTTGGATTGGTGACAATGAGCGAATGAAGCAGCTCGATGTGATGTTTGAGACGGATCTCATACCTAACATGTTGCAATAAGCCACTCGGGATCTGCGACTTATACTTGTTCCTTCTATCGAGCCACCGCTGTGAACTCCTCGTAATTTTTTCCGACCCAGCTGCTCATCTGTGGTGGAAATCTTTGACGATAATGACGTGGAGTCGGACACCTCCAAATGCCTGGTCGCTGTGGCCCGCCAAATCCTGACTTTGCAATCGAGAGTATGTGTGACAACAGTTAGATCAATCATCGAAACATCATCGGCAGTGATATATAGCTTGTCTGCCCAGAAGGCTGTCACGGTAAGCTTCCTCGTTACACGAGCGGACTTCCCTTGACTGGTATGCAGGCTACAACACGCAACGTTTTTCCTCCAATAAGAGATGCTGCAATGCCCATACGTGCAGCTTTCACCAGACGCCTTCCAGCTCCGTGAGCGACAAATTTCTCCGTGATGGTTTGAATAGCCTTTAATTTGCCGACGCCTCCCTCTCCAGGTATCATCATTAGTAGCTGCGGCGTATTCTGGCCAGCGAGAGTTGCCCTCATGCCAATCAATGATATCGAAGGCTCATCGCTGGTCGTGATGCGGGCAAGAGGAGTCCACAGGCATAACGGAGTCTTGGAGAGATGTGACATGTAAATTGGCTAGTGCTTCGACACTCCCACTTTCCACGTCCTCTTCATCGTCGTCATTTAGGTTGTCTACCGGGTCCATCATTGTCACGTCATCCTCGTGATCCACTCCTTCATCCAACCTGTCTCCACCGTGGCTTTGTTTTGCGCTGTTCGCCACCAGCTGCTGTCGCCGACCTTCAAGTCGTGCAAGACGTCACCAGAAGCAATACCAATATGGTGAGATTGGGACACTGCCCGCTCGTTGTTATCCGTGGCGCTAAACACATCCACCAGTTGGCCAATGTTCACGGTTGCTATGCCATATCGTTCCTCGCGAACAGATACTTAAGTGCTCTTGTACTCCTCAAGGTCCTCCGTCAGTGTATTGTTGATGCATTGTGTACGTATATACTAGAACAAAGGGCCGATGCTTACTCAAGCTTGACACAAGACATGCGATCAATTTTTAGATTGGTAATCTGTCGAACAAGGTTCCTGCCGGTGCAGGCTCAGCTCGGCCTTCACTCACGTTCCGGACGAGGGTCTCAAAATCTGTTATTAGGACAAGATATTGAAATGAACTCGATTTAGACTTTGATATCCGGGCCCGATAAATTTGTCCGTCCTGCAATCATCCTTAGGTCGTATCCCGCACATCTCAGTTGTGGCCGGCCGTCGAAAGTCAGTAACAAGGAAGAAACAACTTCTTAAGTAAGGTACAGGAGAGTATCAAATGAAACTGGAACGGTAGAAGAAGGAAAGGGGGGGTGCGAGGGTGCGGGAGCGCCTGAATCGGCTGTGCGTGGAGAAAGCCGACACGAAGTAAGTCGCTCGGGGGCGCCATTACTTTGACAAGCCGGGAAAGGTTCCCTTCTTCTCGGAAGTCAGGCGGTGATTGCGCATTGTTATGTAGTATAATAAAGGTGAAGGCCTTCCCACAACCTTTCTATACACTTATTCTTCATATCCTGCTGTCCCACTCGGAGTTGGTTCATCCACTTCCGTTCAGAATACCATGCTAACGTCCTCATTTAGATTATTATGCCTGGAAGTACCTTTCCTCCTTTCCTAGACGATGTTCGAACACATCCGCTCTTAATTATTGATTACGAGCTCATCAAGGCTGGAGACGTGGGAGAAGTAAATCGACTGTGGGAGGCAGCGACAACTATTGGATTCTGGTAGTACGTCATATTTCTGTTGTTGAATATGCGTCGAACCTAACTCGCCATAAGTTTGAAGAACCATGGTGCAGACCAAGAAGTGAGTGACATGTTTGATATGGGGGCTGAGGCAATGTCTCTGCCCCTCGAAGAACGTTTGAAGTTCGAGCAAGGAGACACAGGACAATCTTTCGGGTCCGTGTTGATTTTTCACGGGTGTCTCTCATTATTTGAGTTCTTTATCAGATACAAGAAAGTTGGCGCCAACGCGATTGATGCAACTGGTAGGATTTGCAGTCCAATTCACTAACAGTAGAGTGACGCAAATATAGGCACCTTGGACGCTGTTCAATTCCTAAACGTCTCTAAAGATGATGCACTAGCTTATCCGCAGGTCGTTCACCGCGCCTACCCATCGACCGTAAATGCTCGCATGGAAAACACAATTGCACCGTTTATCCGCAAGAGCCTTGAGGTGACATGTGTTGTGTTCAATATATTCAATGACAAGCTTGGACTGCCGAAAGGGACTTTGGAGAGACTGGGTGACATGGAGGAACACAGTTGTAGCGAGACCAGAAGCATCCACAGCCTCCCTACGGAAAGGGCTATAATAGGTGCCCATACTGATTCCGGCAGTCTTGTGGGTTGCTGGGAACGTGCAGTCATGTTTTTTAATCAAACATTACCAGACCTTCTTGCACAATCGCCTTGGTGGACTCCAAGTGCTCTCACCTGGTCATGACGAGTGGTCCTACATACGAGTGAGTACACGAGTTTCATACCCCCGTGCAGCGGAAATTCATCTACGGATAGCCCATTCCTGGACATGCAATTTGCAATATTGGAGATGCGCTGTCTCTTTTAAGCGGAGGCATCCTGCAATCCAACATTCACCGCGTTGTGTGCGTGCATGAGTACTCGATTTTCCAGCCTTGCAATCTTTCGAATTACCATGGTCAGTCCACCTCCTGACGCACAGGCTGAATGCGAGCGGTGGTCCTTGGCTTTCTTTACCCGTCCGGGCAACTCCAAAGTCCTCCGGGCTCTTGTTGAATCCAGTCATATTATTGCAGAGGCGGTGAAGAAGCAGCCTGACAGAAACTTTGAGACTGGTTCCACTGCTGTAGAGTGGTTCGCGAGAAGAATCCGGAACCATAGAATTAATAACAGAACGGTAGGAATTCCTTCAGTGTGTTATGGTGGATGTGATCATGGATGCTGGAATATCACAGGGACCAGAGACGTGGGCTGCAAACCGAGGCACCGAGCACACTCCGACGGTGGTCTAGGTCGTGATTCGTGAATTATCTGTCCCGTTCGATAATATCATGAATCAGTCTGATTCGATGTGGAGGATTCTCTGGTTGACTACTTCTAGCTTGCTTTGTTATCGCCGTCTTCAGTGAATCATTGATCAATTCAGGAAGCTAAGTGTACAGCGAGTACATATTAAACGCTGTTCTCGACATCTCCAAGGCCATCGTATATACAAGATCATAAAACATGGGTGAATGCTAGGCCAGAAGTGACTCCCAGTGCGAATTATCGCCAGTCAATCCGGTACATCGAGACCGAATTTCGATCATTGGAGTCGAGCTTGGCCATAGAATTGGAAAGTCCAGCTATGGGATCGAGTTCGTCGAAGACCAGTCTTCCTAAGACAGAGTCAGTATCAGTCACGAACCACAAAAAAACATCATTAGACGGAAAACTGAATAGTCAGAGGAGAATCCAATTCTTGATTCACATACTTGATCAATCACTGCTAAAACATCAGAAGCTAAGGTTAGCGCATGAATTACTTACCATATAGGCAGGTGTAACGGGTGGCACAGCGATTCTTAAGCTTGCCTGTGCCACGACCGCTGCGCAGTTCATCATCGGAATTCTCCCGAGAGGCTCCCATCCTCCTCTCCCTTTTCCTTTCGTTGCACTCAATTCAAGTACCTCACGTTCCCTTTCATTCAGTCTTCGTCCTAGTATTTACATCCAACATTTGTCTGCATTGTTCTTACAATGACTATCTCATCCCTTGATCACGCCTAAGTGAACTTCAAAGATGCAAACAGGATGGGAAGAACGTAGCTCGAGAAAAAAATAGCAAACGAACTCCATGCTTACGCAAGGGGAGTCGCGACCCAAGCAAAAACCTCCTGTCTCCCTTTCGCAATCTCACCCTTCTGACCCGAACTCGAGTACGCAACACGAAGACGCTCCGTAGCCAGCTCATCTAGTAACTCCACGTTCTTCGGTGGACTAGTATTCGATAAAGACTTCAGGTTCGCATTTTGCGCTAACCGGCGAGTACACTATATTTTGAAAAAATTACCCGATGTTCAACTCGACAAACAGCCCACACGAGAAAAAGAACGCACAAGTTTCACGCCAAACCACGCTCGCACAGTGATCCCGAGCGGTGTGGATTCTTGCAAGAGTTGTTCTGAATCGTCGGTGTCGGTCATGTCGACGACAGTGAGGAACATCTTGATGGCGAGGGCAAAGTCTTCGGAGGTGTAGGCTGTTTCAGCGGCTTGGAGAACGTAGAAGGGGTTCTGGGGCGTTAGGAGCAGAACATGTGAGAGGGCCTGGAGGGAGTGATCATATCTGTGCGAGCGAACAATGAACAAGACGTGTGATGGTATGAATGGAATGGAGACGCACTGGTTACACGACGCATAGATGTCTGCGAGTTCTAGCCACCCTTCGACGTCCGTATAGAACGTATCCAAGAATTGCACGAGTTCATTCACAGCCTTCTCTACCTTTCCTGTTCTCCTCAGTACTGATATACGCCGCTTCCAGATCGCCTGTAGTACGAGTAAGCGCACAAAGACACGTATATACGAGAAAAGTACGCACGGCATTGGCAGAATCGGCTTCAAGGATGTCTGCGTAGTATTTTAAGGCAGTTTCTGGTGGCTCTGTAGCTTCCATTCGGATGCCTATGAGACAGTCAACACGTGGGGAGTTGGGGAATTTGTCGGCAATGAGCTGGAGGCATTGCTTTACAGAAATGAGTTTGAGCTGTCGTGCTAAGTACTTGGAATAGAAACAAAGGACGTACGTCTGCTATATCAAGTCTTCCGACGTCTATTGAGGCCAATGTTAACTGTTCTAGGGATGTCCAGCCTGCAGGAACACCGCGGTGACTTGAGTTCAAATAACAGGCGCGGGCAGCGATGAAATGACTTACCATCGTCTCCCAATTTTTTGAAACCACTTTTCTGAAGGACTAGAAGACCACTGCGGAAGATATCTTGCGAAGCGCGCGTGTTGTTGGCACGGTACGTAGCTAATCGTTCCAAGGCTGACTGCAAACTCATGAGTATAGAAAGGACCAGTGTATTACGTAAATTCTACATTGGTCGTGAGTTGCCATTCCCCAAATTTAACATCATCACTGATTCAAGCTTGACTTGCAGTTGGTTGAGGTTGATCATCCGGATCGCGGGAGTCGTCGAGGAACCTCATTTTCATTCAGACCCGCTTGCTGAATCTCGAGGTCGGAAGGGTACAAGGTCTAAGACTAGTCCACCTTGTTGATATGCGACGTCTGGTGCACCGTGACCGCGGTATCAATTCACTTCGTCCTGTCCCAAACTCTTCCTACTAGACGTTATACATCGTTGGAAGCTCTAGCAGACTATGCTAACGTTCTTGTTTTCTTTTCAAGACCTCGAAGGAAGTTGGAGAGGAATGTGGTCATTGAAGTGACATATGTGGGTTGACCATTGGTGGTTGATTCGTTTTTTCGAGATAACATGCATACGAGACGGCGCACTTAGGACATTGCGATTCATTTTGAAGAAATTCAGGTGTTTGATAACCGTAGGCTCAGAGCCCCTAGAATGGGCTCAGCGACGTACGCATCTGCTTTGATGCCACGATCAGAAAAAGTGCGGACTTTTTGCATTCGTTTGATGCCCGAGCACTCATTGAATCCCTCAAACATGTGCGTAGCTTGCTTGATTAAAATAAACTCATTTGATCATTTCCTAGGACCTTGAAATGTCGTCTTTTTAGACTCTGGCCAATCAAGTCCTTTTAGCTTCAAGTCAGGTGGCAGGGGATGTACTAGTGGCAGTTGTTGGTGGAAGCCCTAACGCTCTCACGCCCGGAGACTCTCCACCGCTCAAGATCGCTTGGCTGACTTCCCTGAAGAATGCATCCCTGGAAATGATAAAGCGAATTCCTCTGGCATCTGTAAATCAGAATGTCTCTCCACCAACACCCGGGCGCAACGTGGCAATAGCACCAGGGTCGTACCTTTGACTCGCCTAGGAGTGTGACGATTGCAAGGATTGCCTCATGGTCATCTTGTCGGATTAATGATAAGTTGGCTAATCCTTATTCCGGAGAGAAATAGTCGGTGTATCGTTGATATCATTGTTATTGTAGCTGACCATGCTACTACTCCCAGCCTAATCTTCTAAAGGGGTAACGGACCGCATTTGTCCTCGTGGTTTGAGAGAGCGATCAGCAATTCTACTCTGTACCAATGTTTGCGGATTCTGATTCCTTTCTTAGAGAAACCCATCCTCGTCACGACGGGTCACCGTGGTAATGTTTTTTAATAGGGCGGAGGATAACCGGCGTGAGTGGCAAGTATAAGATGTTGGACACGCACGGTCTATCAAACCCACATTCTCCTCGACAAAGATATTGAATTTCCAGCCCACTAAACGTCATGAGTGCCAGCTATGCCGCTGGTGTCGCTGTAATCGTAGCGGTACTCGTGTTATACAAGAAATTCTCGTTAGCGGGTGGGAACAACATCCCGCTTCCACCTGGACCTCCCGCATGTTGGTTCTGGAGCAACGCTTTGCCTGCTGTCAAGTGAGTTCCGGCAGTGTTATCCGAGACATTAGAGGCTGATGCAGATCGTCCAATTAGCATTGCCTATGCGCTGACAGACTTGGTTCGAAAGTATGGGCCTGTCGTGTCGTTCCGACAAGGTAGCCAAGTGATAATTGTCATTGGCAGCATGGAGGTATACTGTCCATACCTTGAGCTTCTTCCGACATTGACCCCCTTACCAGGCGGCCACGCACATCATGGAGAAAGAAGGCGGATCACTGGTAGATCGGCCCCGGACCATTGCTGGGGGCGATATGCTCTCAAATGGAATGCGCTTGGTCCTTTCTCATTCCGGTGATCGCTTCCGGCGCCTCAGAAAAGCAGTACATACCCATTTACAGCCAAAGGTGACAGAGACATACCAAGATATGCAGCGCGAGAAGGCGATGGATTTTATATTGGATATACTGGATGACCCGAAGAACCATCAGAAGCATGCAGAGCGGTGCGTCATTACCAAGAACTTATGTGATCCTTTCATAGATATGGTGCCTCAAGGTATGCAGCATCAGTCATTCTCCGGGTGACTTATGGAAAGTCTGCGCCCACTGCCAACACTGATCCCGAAGTTATCCGTATTCACAAAGTCGTTGAACATTTTCAGGCCGCAGTTCGCCCAGGAGCTTATCTCGTCGATCGGGTGCCCCTTTTGCGTTACTTGCCTGGTTACGGAAAACAACTTCATAAGTGGCATCATGAGGAGCTAGATCTATACAGGCATCAGCTACAGCGCGTTAAGAACGACGTGGTGAGGGGCTCTCTATTCCGATAAACGTATGTCGCTGACATCGTATTGTGTCCAGGATCAAAACAAAGCTAGCCCCTCTTTCACCAAGACACTATTGGAGAACGCTCAAGGACACCAGCTCTCTCCGGATGAGATGTCCTATCTCGCTGGATCACTCTTTGGGGCGGGATCAGATACGGCAAGTCATACAACTTGTTTATCTACCTGAACTTACTAATTTTTGGTTCAGACCTCTGTTGGAATTACGGCTATTATTATGGCTGCGGCATGCCACCCACTGGCTCAGGCTAAGGTGCATGAAGAGCTCGATACGGTCATCGGATCAGCCAGAGGTAATGCTATAGGGGTAGAAAGATTTTGATTTTTAAATTGTTTCGTGGTAGCACCGACATTTGAAGACTCAAACTCGCTCCCTCAATTGCGCGCGTTCTTGTTGGAAGCTTTGAGATGGAGACCCATCGTTCGCATAGGTAAATTTCAAATTCGGCACGCTGCTGCACGATGCTGACATGTGCCTCAGGATTCCCCCACCGTGCAACCAAGGATATTTTCTGGGTAAGCATCTTAGATTCATTGTAACCCACGTTCTCATTCCTGTCTGTGTGCATCAGCAAGGATATTGCATTCCCGAGGGTGCAACAGTCTATGGGTGCCATTGGTAAGGTGTTGTTTCGCGATGTACTTCGCTTCATTTAGTGCATGTTTTCAGGACTCTTTCTCGCGATCCTATTGCCTTCCCAGATCCTGAAGTTTTCAATCCCCAGCGCTGGCTTGATTCAGAAGGTCGCCTCAAGGATAATTTAAAGATCATCACATATGGTTTTGGTAGACGGTAAGTCGCGCCGCCATTGGATTTTTGACACCGATCAATGAAGTTCACTTGTGTTTGAAAGTGTATGTCCCGGCCTGCACCTCGCAAATCAGTCGCTGTACATTACCCCCGCCCTTCTCTTGTGGTCTTTCCGCATTGATCAACGACCTGACGCCCCGATCAACACGCATGCTTTCAGTGACGCGGTTATTCCCCATGCAACACCATTTGAGATCGATGTCATTCCCCGGATCGAAGTCGCGAAGCTGAAAGAGATGATGAGTAGGCCTATGGATTGAAGATGTTTCATTGTCTCTTGGTGTTGTTTTGGAGCGAAAACCTATGGTACAGCCCAAAACGGTAGGGGTGTAAATCAGCCCTGAGATATTCCAGGACCTAAGAAATAGGTACTGGTCTGTCCGCACGATCACACAGGCTCCACTTGTAGCCGGTCCGGTCTTAGTCATATCATAATTTCTTCTTTTTTTGATCCATATTCGGCGTTCATCTCTGTCGTTGATCTCGCGAGTCAGATTGATTCCTAATCGTCTTTTCACTTTTCATCTTTCCTTCCATTTCACTCACATCCTTCCACAGCACAAACGCATGAATTATGATGTGAGTAAAATGTCGGTGAAGTGTGAAAATATACCACAATATCACGAAGTTTTCTGGTACATTTCCTCATCATGCAATCTGCCAACAATTACACGCTTTGCCCACAATCTATCACATTTTTACCTTACATTTTCCCCACAATTCACGCAATATTTCCATACGTAGACACCGCACAACAATCACGCTTCGACGGTAGCTTAAAATCACACATAGGAGCTCGAATTTGTATGCAGCGGGCTTGATTATAAGGAAGATTGATACAGGCTATGTTACACATAAGGATGAGAGCGGAACGACACACCTGAGTCCCCACCACAATGTCCCATGTCGAGCCCTGAGTATAACTTCAGCTTCGGTCCTCCCCCTCCTTTGTATGGCCATCCCAGTGCTAGCACACCAGCGGGCCACACGTACAGTGGAATGGTAGGCTCGTACCAAGGCGGCCCTACATATACAGGAATGTCGGATGGCCGTCCCATGTCCATCCCAGCACCGACGCCAGGATTATCTTCGAATGAGCTCCCGTGGCCAGCGTCCGTTGTTCCCATCATAGATCCCCGACTGACTACAGCTCCAGGTGGTGTAGGAACAGGCACCAGCTCCACACAGAACACTAGCAGTCTACCCAAGACGATGAAAATCTCTCAGGTCTTGAGTGAGATGACCAGTTTTAACTGCCGGCTGGCCCAAGCTGAAGACTTGGAGCTGCGACATGCAAATGAACTGCGCACGGTGGAGACTAGATGTGTTCAGCATGTCGAGGCTGTGAAGATTGAGTTCAAGGCCGAGATAAAGAGTCTAGAGGAGCAGTTTGAGCAGAGAGTCGCCAGTTTGCTTACGAGTAAGAGTCACATTGATGTAGGAGACGGGTCTGAAGATGAGACCGATGAGGAGTTCGAGAAAGAAGCTTGAAAAGAGTGCCCTTGCATTTGACGACAATGGTCTGAAGGCGAGTAAATCAGTGGATCCAGTATGTGAAGAGTACACTAATAAGACATCACTCAGGCGGTTGTTCACATCATGTTTCAGATGTTGATGGGAAGTGCAAAGCTTACCGTTGACGCACTTCCTTCATATCCAAGTGACGAAAATAAGTGGCCGCTGGATCCTGCCACCAATGAGTGTTTGATGCGTTTTCGCTGGACTGAATCCCATCAGCATTCAGATAATCACGCCAACATCCTGCGCATCATCACTTACATTCGTCAACATGGCACAACTGTATTCGCTGGCACTGGTCCTACTCTTCGCGATATCAGTGACGAAGACCTGTGCGCCCGTGTGGTGAAGAAATATCAAGACTTACAGAAGATATTGCGGAAGGCAGGCAGGTTATCTGGACACCCAGTGGTGCCTCTGACAGGGGCGGCAAGTACTGTTGAAGATGATCCGCTTGGGCCTTCAGCTCAGCCTGTAGCCGTAACGGCAACTTCACGCGCCAAATTGCAAAGTCGTGCCAGAGGAGCAAGTCATGGGCCATTAATATGAACTAGAACTCACCTGTGTACCTTAGAAACTTGAAGTGTGTATACGCAAATATGAGAATCTGCCAGAGGATTCAGAGTTCAGGCATGAGAAATATCGAGCGGCACTCACAGAGTCCTTGATGTCGCAGGATGAGGATGAGGTGAGTGAGCAGGGGCAAAAGACAGGGCAATTTGTATCCCATGCTGGAACATATCGAAGTGACCTTGTGAGTAAAATGATGACAGCTAAAATGAACACTGACCCTGATAAAAACTGTAGATGTTGAGGTTCTTGGCCGCTGTTGATGAAGCGGCGGATCCACACCCCCCGCCTCGCTTCACCGCTCGGGTTAAAGGCGACTCGAAAGAACTCCCGCTCTTAGCTGCGAAGAAAATTGAGAATCGAGCACGCCGATGGATGGTGTCAGCGGAATGGCTTGCGAGAGAAGAAAACAAGAAGTATGACTCACCTAGCTTTCTCCTAGACAATGGGCGTGCATGGGGTGATCCAAAGGACCCTGAGGAGATGTTGGCAGGGCAGAAGCGAGTGAAGGAACAGAAGAGGGTGATTGCGGCGAAGAAGCGCGTGAAAATCGAGGAGATGGAGGCGAAGAAGAAGGAAAAAGGAACAAAGAAAGGTAAGGGCAAATCAAAGGCCACAACTGACAAAGGGAAGGGACGAGAGAGCATCCCAGCACAACCAGTAGCAAGTACTAGCACGGCTCGTGAGCTGCCTCCTGCTGCAGAGTCGGATGATGAGTTCAGTGACTAGATATGACGAAAAGTGCGCACCTTATCTACTCTCCGTCTTCGTCTTCTAAAAAGTCTTCAGGTTCGTTCCCTGCCTACAAATTTTTTGAGACTGTTGTACGAGAGCTCGAGTAATCACAGTTTGTAAACTTACATGGTCAAATGAGACGGTGATCCACAGATCTTTTTTGAGGATGTTCGAGTGCACTGGAATTAGTGCCAGTGGGCACTCGATCTGTGATACTGGAACCACTTCCTGAGGGCCCAATTCAGTGTAGGAGACGTGGATACCAAGTGTAGATGCACTGAAAATATATGAGCGCTTGTCCCTGCTAACCAAAAGACTTACTAGAGATCCCATGGCATTGCAGGAATGTCATCATCAGAGACTAATCTCCGCACCACTGCACAAACATGAGGGACAACGTCAAGAACACCAACCACGAATAATGCCGTGATTTGCACAGGGACACGTGTTCTACCTTGCGATATGAACGCAAATGAGTCAGCGTGCGTGCACCGATTCATGGTGCAGCCGTAACGAATGCCGTCTTTGCGAATGTATGTGAGTGCGCGAGCTACCTTGTTCGCATAGAAGGGGGTGCCATTGTCGCACGATAAATCACCAACCAGGTGAAGGTCGGGCCATAGAGAACGACAGTACTGGAGAAGAATGGGGTAGAATACTCCTTGAGGCGAGCCGTATGTACGGAGATTGATCAATTTTGCATTACGGAGTGGTAACCTAACATTGTCTGATAAAAAAACGAGCATCAGTTGATAGATTGGTGCGAAAAATAAACACGTACCTTCGGCAGCTTCGCTCTGATAAACTGCTATCTGCGTCATCATACTTCCACAGTCTTGAGCTTGTACCTTGATGATGCAGTTAATTTGGTCCCATTCGAAAGAATGAGTGTCAGCGGGAAGAGAAAGAAGATACTCGTAAATGAGATGAGTTTGGACCCAGTTCCATAAGAGAGTCAACTCGATCCATCCTCCGTCATGACCGTTATGGTGAACACGTTCCAGCATCCCATTGAACCGCTCGAATGCGAAGAGCCACCAGGCATATACAGGACCAAACTTCTTGATCATGTCGGCTGTATGCATCGAAGCTTGATGGTTGATGGTGAGTGGGATGCGAAGCTGCAGACATTCCAAGCAGTAATGGGCTAGAAAGCTCTGACCAGTGCGAGCCTGGGCCATAGAGATCGTGCGGGATGCGAGAATTCGGACACCAGTGCACAGGAATAGAATGGCCTGATACATCGAGCGGCGGTTACGCGAGAAATCAGGGGCAACAGTGTTGGGTGGAAGAGGAGGCTCGGTGTCTGGTATTTCGTCATTAGCATCCCTCCAAGACCACCAGAGAATGACCGGGGTGATTGTTAGAAGACGACGCCACTCGTCAGCCTTCTTGAGGGATTGGTTTTCACCCAGCTGATGTTGGACAAAGATGAGAACTAAGTCGGCTATCAAGGCAAACACGTACATTTTCCGGCAGTCGAGTGACATGGCTAGGCCATCTTACAGCATTAATTATATCTTCAAAGTGTCGCTTCGGAGAATTGACGCCACCCATGCCCGAGAGCATATATCCACCAAACAACACGCGCATAAATAGGTGCGAAATGATTCCTTGATCAATCGAGATGTAAGCATGTCAGAATGAAGAAATAGACACGTACCAAGAAAGATACAGTGCATAAAGTCAAGAGCTGACTTTCTCGATGGTAACCAGCCTCAAATGACATTGAGAATGCTAAATCTAACTCCGTGGTCTCGCAAGATCGCTTCTTGGCGAGCGGGAGCAGCATCCTTAGAGTAGAAGCTCTGACGAAGCATGTGATGATCATCTTTGGCGGTCCACGCTACGCACCAAGTCAATGGGGATCGTGTGTGTGAAAATTCACTTACAATTGTTGTAGCCTTCGGGAGTATTGATTTTGACGATGTCAATGTCACAAAACGCACATGGATGGAAGTCGTGACTGTGTCCAGCGGTTCCGTTACATTTATGCGAGGCAGGCATATCACAAGCGAGGGCTTCGTTATCTGCGAATACATCTGCAAGTTCTTCTTCTCCGTGAACATCCATTTTGACCCCTAGATAAGTTCAAACAGTGAGCATACAATTAGCATTTAATACTTCACACCATTCTTGAGTTCAATCAGCTCGCGAGTAGACGGCTCCAAACAATGGTTGATTTGAACTATGTTTGGGTCTTTTGGACCCGGCATAATGGCTGCGCATATGACGTTGACTTGTAAGAATTGTTGATCTCATGGGAGGTCGTTGATGGCGTAGTAGATAGAGCCACTAGAGTGGGGCCGATTTTCGAGTATTCCCATCCTACATCACGATCATGTCAAATTAAGTGTTCAGTGAGTGCAAGTACGACATTTAAACTCAGCAGTCAATATTCAAGGTCAAATGCAGGCCATATCAATGTTCGGTAAGCTTTGTTGTTGCTGGTTGGTTATCCTGAGGGCGGTCGCGGATGGTACCTAATTCACCAATCTCGCGGACAGTATTGGTCTCTGTTACAGCGGCCCCATCATTTTCTCATCATCATGCTTCTCCGATCTATTCCTGTTATCTCTGACTGCTTATCAACATGCACTGCATGAACATTCTAGATACTTCCGTCTATTCTTGTTATCTTTGGCTGCTTATCAACATGCACTGCATGAACATTCCAGATAGTTCTATGATGATCTTCTTGACTCCTTTCACTTCCATAGTCGGCCTGGTCCGTGCCTCCTTTGTCCATTATAAATACCGCAGTAGTCACGCTTGTATTCCCTAACTTGAATCTACTTGGTTCTCTCTGATACTTGATCATCTTCTGAGGAAGATACTTGATTCCGATCTAGCTCTTATAAGAGACTAGCCTATACTCGAACTTCACTTAGAGGGAGAGCCCCTCAAGTGTCTGAACAGAACGTCGTAACACGAGGAACTCCTTTATTGGATTAGTTACGCAAGAACTATCCAAGTCGTAACAAAAGATTCAAGTTACTCTGAACCCCTCTATCACCGAGGGACCCCCTCACTCCGAAACCCTGAACCCAGAATAGAAAGACAAGACGTCTTCCCAGAAGCAAAGCTCGGCTAAGGCAAGACACGCCGCCAGAAGAATTCTAGGAGGAGACCCATACCCCAGAACAGAAAGAACTCCCGCTCAGACTCCTCAGAACCCGTTCTCATCCCTATTAGTAGGACCATCCGCTATAACCAGAGGGGTCATTGCATCACCAATTGGATATAGTTCGTTTGAGGAAGGATCATCCCAGAACCAAGAATCATCGCAACAAGGACATCCCCAGAACCCACCTGTTGATAAAGACGAAGAAATCCCTGACGCTCCACCGCTTGACCTCGACGAAGAAGAAGAAGAAAACTACGACGAAGAACCCGAAGAACCAGAAGAACCTGAACCTCAAGTATCCGCTATGGCAGGAAGAGGAGACAAACCCATTGAACGAAAGATTGGATACCCACCTGACTTCTCTGGAGACAGGGAGAAATTTTCCCAATGGCTGTGCCTAGTTGACTCTTACATCGAAATCAACGATGAAATCTACGACACCGACAAGCGAAAAATCATCTTCGCTCTTTCATTCATGAAAGAAGGAGCAGCAGCTCTCTGGATGGAAGATTTCATCACCTTTACCAGAGAAGAAAACCCAACCTCGTTAACCGGAGCAAAGAACGGTTTTGGAACATGGGCGAACTTCACTACCAAGATGAAAGAAAGCTTTTCCC